GACCTTCATCTGTGGAGGTTTTCAGGATGCACAGGTGACTGCTGGAAGCAGGAGGCTGAACTACCCCGTGCTCTTCAGACCAGGGCTGGATGGAAGACAACAGGGAATATCAGCTCTGTGCACAGTGCTGAGAGCTGATACCCCAGAGTTGAAGAAGCTTATGGAAAATTATAAAGAATTCAGAATTAAAAAAAAAAAATCACAAAAGTTTGTGTAACTTGTTTATAATTTATGCAGGGAATAATATGTCTTTTGGGGTAACCTTTTAATCAAGTAAACAAAGGTAGTAGCAGCTACAGACTGAAATTAGATAAACTGAAGTGCAACATAACACTAAGTGTAATTACTCCTTAGTCTCTCAACTTGAGGGGTGATGTGTTCTTTATTGGTTGTATTGAGAGTGAGGCACTTTCTGGCTCAGCCAAAAATCGTTGGATTCAGTGCTAGAAAAATCAAACTCTCCTGCATGATGCTGTCTTATTTTAGAGCCTTAGTCAGCTTTAAAAACTAAGAATCCTGACCTTCCCACAGATCTCTTGAGTATCTTTACACAATTCACTTGTATCTTAGGTACCGACAAAGTTGTCATTGTTTCAGCTATGTTACATAATTTAAATCTGTGAGAGAGGAGCTGTCAGTACTTAAACATAATTATAGGCTAAAGTTGGCAACTAAAATGCATTAAATCTTAAATGGAGGAAAAAGAGTAGAAACACCTAAGAGAAAAGAAAGGGCACTCACAAGGAATATTATTTTGTCTTTTTATGATTTTCTACCATAATTGCAAAACTACATTTCTAAGAAAGTATATTCTTGTCTCCATTATTCTTGCCTGATGACACACAAACACAGCTTGTAGAAAGGTATTCCTTCCCTGGGGGCATGAGGATCCTTCAAAGCAGAGTCCCGGATGCCTCAGTTCTTGGGTGTTGCTATGGGGAACCTCGGGAGGTGGTGTCTTTGGAGAGGAGGTCCCTCTAGGCATAGAACTATACCAGGGCTTTACGTGGTGGGGAGCACACCCAAACACAAAGGGAGCATGTGACAAAATCCACGCTGAGAGTGCTGTGTGCAAATTGTAAAACCATTTGCAGCGTATTTGGACTGTAATTCTTTTCTCTCCTGTTTTTTCAGGTGCACTGGACCAAAGAGGAGAACTACATGTTCAGGCTCTCTGCATTCCGGGACCCATTGCAGAAGTGGCTCCGTGACAATCCCCGTGCCATTTTTCCCGACCCTTTCTACCAGCGCGTGCTTCACTGGCTGGGAGACGACTTGCCAGACTTGTCTGTCTCTCGTGAGAGAAGCCGGTTGCAGTGGGGTATCCCTGTCCCCGGTGACTCCACACAAACCATTTATGTGTGGGTAGATGCCTTGGTGAACTACCTGAGTGTCGTGGGCTACCCTGAGACGCATGGCGAGTGGTGGCCCGCTGCTCACCACATCGTGGGCAAGGACATCCTCAAGTTCCACGCTGTCTACTGGCCAGCGCTGCTGATGGCAGCGGGGCTGCCACCCCCCGAGCAAATTCTTGTGCACTCCCATTGGACTGTCCATGGGCAGAAGATGTCCAAAAGCCTGGGCAACGTGATCGACCCTTCTGCTTGCATTGGACAGTACACGGTAGATGGATTTCGGTACTTCCTGCTAAGGCAGGGTGTACCCGAGCGGGATTGTGACTATTATGATGAGAAGGTTGTTAAGGTACTGAATTCAGAACTGGCAGATGCGCTTGGGGGACTTCTGAATCGGTCAACAGCCCTTAGCATTAACCCCAGCAACACTTACCCTTATTTCTCAGAGTCTTGTTTCCCAAAGATCTTGGATTACAGGGAGACAAAAGCCTTGGGTAGGGCTTCTGCTGAAGACTATGAGTTTGTGGTGTCTGTGGCTTCTCTGCCGCTGCAGGTGGCTAGCTATTTTGAAGATTTCCAGATCTACAAGGCTTTAGAATGCATTGCCCTGTGTGTAAGGCAGACAAATGGTTTCTTCCAGAGACACAGGCCTTGGAAACTCAACAGAAATCACCCTGCAGAGAAGCTGTGGCTTGACACCATCATCCACGTTACACTGGAATGCCTGCGGGTCTTTGGGACTCTCCTGCAGCCAGTGATCCCATGCACTGCAGACAAGTTGCTTTCCAGGCTGGCTGTTGAGCCAGAAGAGAGAGGTCTCTCAAATTTGACGTTTCTTCCACGTTACAATGGGAAGCCGTGTCCCTTTGAGGGGAGACAGCTTGGACCTGACACTGGCTGTCTTATTTCACAGACTCGAGAAGTCAAGTCAAGCGTCAGATAGAGAACAAGAGGCTATAGTCTCTCACAAATAGCTTTTGTAAATAACAGCCTCCAGGAATGCCCAGAAAATGCTGATCTTTATTGGAGCATGTCCCTCCCATCTCTTGGTGGTAATGCAAATTAGATAAAACAAAACTGAGCAGGGCTGCGCTGCCCCCCTCTCGTCCTGCGTAGGTGATTGCCAGAGGCATCTGCCTGAACTGGTGTGGTTGTACGCAGCTGGGCAGCTGAGCTCCACCATAACCGTGCTCTCACTCTCCCTTCTCAAAGGGAAAGGGGGAAGAAAGTATGAAAAGGGCTCAAGGGTTGAGATAAGGAGATGGAGATCACTCAACAATTATCGTCACAGGCAAAACACTCAGCAGAGGGATAAACTAAAAACGCCTTCCTCCCATCCACCCTCTTCTACCTCCCCCCAAATGGCACAGGGGAAAGGGAGCTGTGGTCAGTCCTGAACAGCTTTGTCTATGCCACTCTTTCAGTCACTCACTTTGTAGAATCACAGAATGGCCCTAATTGGAAGGGACCTGAAAGATCATCTAATTCCAACCTCCCTGCCACAGGCAGGGGTGCCACTCACTAGGTCAGGTACGCCAATGCCCTGTTCAGCCTGACCTTGAACACTTCCAGGGATGGGGTATCCACAGCTTCTCTTGGCAACCTGTTCCAGTGCCTCACTAACCTTACAGTGAAGAATTTCCTCTTAATGTCTAATCTGAATCTATCCCCTTCTAGTTTAAGACCATTCTCCCTTGTCCTATAATTACCTGCCTCAGTAAAGAGTCCTTACCCATCCTTTTTATAGGACCCTGCTGAGTATTGAAAGGCCTCAGTGAGGTCTTGGAGCATTCTCCAGGCTGAACATCCCCAGCTCTCAGCCTTTATTCAGTAGAAGAGGTGCTCCAACCCTCTAATTATCTTTGTAGCCCTCTGGACTCACTCTAACAGGTTCACATGTTTTCTTGTGCTGGGGACCCCAAGCCTGGATGCAGTACAGGTGGGGCTTCACAAGGGGCCTCCTCTAGGCCACATCCACCTGCTCCACCGGGGGCTCCTCCACAGGGCTGCAGCGTGGAGATCTCCATGTGGGACCCATGGGCTGCAGGGGGACAGCCTGCTCCACCAGGGCCCTCCACAGGCTGTAGAGGGCAACTTCTGCTCCAGTGCCTGGAGCGCCTCCTGCTGCATTCACCTTGGTATTTTGCAGGGCTGTTTCTCACTCCTCTCTCCCAGCTGCTGTGGTGCAGCAGTTTTTTTTGTTTTTTTTTTTTTTTTTTTTTCCCTTTCTTAAATCTGCTGTCACAGAGGCACACACGATGTCACATATTTGCTTGGACTCTGGGCAGCGGTGGGTCCATTTGGAGATGACTGGAGCTGGCTCTTAGCTGACATGGGGCAGTTTCTGGAGTCTTCTCCCAAAGGTTACTCCTGCAGCCCCCCCACTACCAAAGCCTTGCGACGTAAATCTGATACAATGGGGAAGCAGACACACTCAAACTAGCTGTATCAGCTGGGCTGACAGCTAGGAAGGTTTCTGGGGTAACATCTTGGGGGTACACCTAAGCAGTGCAGTTGGTAGCAGCGAATAAACTGAAGGCACTGCCTAGGGTTTGAATATTGCTGCTTTGTTTCCTGGTGTACTTTAAGGGACATAAAAATGGGTTGAGGCAAAATACCCCTTAAAACAGGGCACGCTCTGTGCACTGCCTTGAGGCTCCATTAGAGAGCCTTCTTTCCTACATGTATCTTTACAAGGCAAATAACCTGGGACGCAGATGGCAGGAATGCCAGACCTCCTGCAGGAGTAGAGATGGCAAATGACAACTAGAAACAACCCTTTACCTTCAGACCCTAAGGCTATTGGCAGATATGACCACCTAGTCCAGAAAGGGGTTATTTGGTCATGATCTCCCATTCAGACTGATGCTGTTACAGAGCTGTGATGTGTATTTCCAGTAGCCACATGCTGCTGAGAGCAGGCCAGTGTTCAGACTGAATCTGTAGGAGGATTAGTGTCCCTGAGAAAGGGCTCTTTCCGTGGGCACTCTCGGCAATGACTGTCTCTGCTCACACGGGGAGCTGATGTCTTGGTGTCCCCTTGACTTTGCCCTGGAGGTTTTTGGCTAGGCCAGGGCTGAAATGTCTGGAGGTAATCAGAAATGGTTTCCTGACGACACCTCTGGGGTGTACTCCAACTGTTGAGTCCATCAGCTGAATTTCCTTTATGGGCCAAAACCTTCGATCAGCTGATGTCTGACTGAAATCTGTCCCAGCTTTTGGCTCCTTCACTTCTCACCAAGTACCTCTGCTGCAGCAGACTCGTGTCCTGGGCCAATTTTACCAGGCTCTGACCTCTTCTGGAGGTGTCTGGGCTGCGTTATGAGGCAGCAGGCGTACCCTCCCTCTCCCCTCAGAGCACCGTGGGTCCCTGCAGACAGATCAGGCCAGCGCTGGCTGCTTCCCCCTCGCATTGCTCTTGTGTTTTGTTTTTTTGCACAGAGCACAGGCAGAAAAACCGTGGAGGACAGGGAAAAGCGAGACCCCGTCCCCATCGCCTCACGGGCTCGCCTCACGGGCTCGCCTCACGGGCTCGCCTCACGGGCTCGCCTCACGGGCTCGCCTCACGGGCTCGCCTCACGGGCTCGCCTCACGGGCTCGCCTCACGGGCTCGCCTCACGGGCTCGCCTCACGGGCTCGCCTCACGGGCTCGCCTCACGGGCTCGCCTCACGGGCTCGCCTCACGGGCTCCGCTCGGCGCCCTTGACGCGGGGCGGAGCCGCCTCAGCGCTGGCGCTCGGTGCCGCCGCTCGGTGCCGCCGCCCCCCGGCCGCACCGACCACCTGATCCCGCTCCGCCCGCCGCAGCCGCAGCCTTTGTGTGAGGAGCGGGGCGGCGCGGGGCGGCCCCATGAGGCGGTGAGGGATGGCGGCGGGCGGCGGCGGCGGGCGGCCGCCGGGCCCCGACTCGTCGCTGGAGCCGTACGTGCAGACCCGCATCTTCAAGATCATCGTGATCGGCGACTCCAACGTGGGCAAGACGTGCCTGACCTTCCGCTTCTGCGGGGGCACCTTCCCCGACAAGACCGAGGCCACCATCGGCGTGGACTTCCGCGAGAAGACGGTGGAGATCGAGGGCGAGCGCATCAAGGTGGGCCGCGGCGGCACCCGCACCCGCACCGCACCCGCAGCGCACCCGCAGCCGGGGCTGGCGGCGGCCCCGCTCCCTGTCACGGGGCCGAATCTGTGCCTGCCGGACACCCCTCGGGGCTCTCCCGTTCCCATTCCGTCCTGAGGGAGGGCAACGGGAAGGTTTTTCCTCCCCTTGCTGTGGAGATGTCCTCCCAACACGCCGCTGCTGTTAATAAATAGCCACGTTGCTTTTTTTTTTTTTTGCTATTTATATGCTGTTTGCTTGAGTCTGCAGGGGGGCTGAGACAATAGCTCGGAGCGAGACGCTGCAAGCATCTGGTGTAACGGGGTCCTCACAGCGCCAGGCCGGCCCCGGCTTCAGAGGCTCGACCACAGCAGCAAAGGGGTGAAGCTGTAGGGAGCTGGAGGAAGGAGCTGTGTGCAGAAACCGGAGCACAGCTCGCACAGAAACCACGAGAGCATATGGCTGTAGGCTGGCTAGAGGCTTGCTGGAAAGCCAGGAGCTTGCACTAGCTGGTTGCAGCGGGCCTGACAGCTCCGATGTTAATGCACAGGAATGTTAGCAGGCAATTGGAGGATGCAGTTTCAAGGGAACTAAAATAGAACTAATTTGCTGTATGTACACCAGCAACAGTAAAGAAATGCATTAGCTCAGAGCTGAGGAGATCTGCAGATCAACGAGCAGTGGGTAGGAAACAGCTTGGGAAGCACAGTTTGCAGCAGATCTTGGCCTACCTGGTTAGGTGGATCAGCACAAGCAGCAGTCTGTGTGAAAGACTGACTCCTGGAAGAAGCCCATACTGCTATATTTTGCAGACAGATGGAGAATCAAAAGTTGAGGGGCTGATCACAGTGAATGTAGAGCTAATGTTGGATGACAACTTTAGTTGTGCTTTTAAACTGACCATGATTTTTTCCTCTCTTTAAGACGAAAGGTGTTCATTTCCCCCTCGTGCCTTGCCCAGCTCCATCCAGTGCCCCCTTTCTGTGTTACAAGCTGTAGTGCAGGCTGGCATGAAGCTGTCCTATGGTCACTAGCTTGAAAATATTGCCATGCTTTCTACCTTTGGATATTACTTCTGCTCCAGCAAGCAGGACTGGGAGGCAGGGCAGCAAATTGCCCTTCCCCTAGGACCGTGTATCCAAATGGGGAGGTGGGATGAGTTCCTTTAAGTCCCACTTGTTCCCAGCAAGCACCTTGGGGACAAGAGGCATGGGGCTCCTGCTGCTGCTCTGCTCAGAACTAAACAGCCTGGGATAAAGTGGCATGGAGATGAATGAGAGGTATCTCTTTGTTGCCAACATTTTTACTCTCTGAAAGATTGTGGGGCAGGCACTGTCACAATTAAGGGTGGTTCAGGTAAATCACAGTAATTTAGAAATTGCCAGCTTGCAGCTTACAGAAGTTCTTACAGAAGAGCAGGGTGCAGGTTGGAAGGGACCTCTGGAAGCCATCTGGTCCAATCCCCCTGCTCAAGGAAGACCACCCAGAGCAGGCTGCCCAGCACCATGTCCAGGTGGCTGTTTAAGATCTCTAAGGAGGGAGACTCTGTAACCTCTCTGGGCAACCTGCTCCAGTGCTCTGTCACCCACACAGTAAAGAAGTGCTTCCTGAGGTTTAGAAGGAACTTCTGCTGTTGCTGGGCAATGCTGAAAGAGCCAGGCTGCTTCTTTGCACACTCTGTCCAGGTATTTATACATATTGATAAGATTGATTTATCACATTTTTATATATACATATTTATAACACTGGTGAGATGTGCCCTGGGCCTTCTCTTCTCCATGCTGAACAGCCCCAGCTCTCTTAGTTTCTGATACAAGAGCTGTTCCAACCTCTTTATCATTTTGAAGGCCCTTTTCATTTCCATGTCTCTCTTGCACTGGGGAACTCAGAACTGGACACAGTACTCCAGATGCCACCCCAACAGTGCTGAATAGAGGGGAAGGATCACTTTCCTCAACCTGCTGGCGATACTTTGCCTGGCACAGCCCAGGACACCATTATCCTTCTTTGTGGCAAGGGCACGCTGTTGGCTCATGTTCAAGCTGGTGTCCACCTGTACACCCAGGTCCTTTTCTTCAAGGCTGCTCCCCAGCTGGGCAGCCCCCAGCATGTCCTGGGGTTGTTCCTCCCCAAGACCAGGACTCTGCACCTCTCCTTGCTGACCTTCAGAGGGTTCCTGTCAGCCCGTTTCTCTAGCCTGTCCAGATCCCTCTGGAGGGCAGCACAGCCCTCTGGTGAATCAGCCCCATGCCCCACTTTCATGTTGTTTGCAAATTTACTGAGGGTGCAGTCTGCCTCCTCACCCAGACCATTAACAAAAATGTTGAACGGGAATGGACACAGTTTTGACCGCTGGGGTACTACGTTCATTACTGGCCTCCACCAAGACTTTGTACCACCGACTGCTACCCTCCAGGCCTGGATGATCAGCCAGTGTTTGATCCACCCCACTGCTCATCCAGCCAGACTTCATCAGCTTCTCTGTGAGTATCTTATGGCAGACAAGTGTTGAAAGCCTTTATTGAAAGTGCACATAGACAATATCCACTGCTCTTACCTTGTCTAGCAATGCCTCTAGGCCTGTTTGCCTGCCTACCTGTTCACTGGGATGAACAGCTTTTTTTGAATATTAGCCAGCTTTCTTGGGCCCATCTTCTGTCTTTCCTTTTCAAAATTCATCATTGTGGTCTCAAATTTTGCCCTACTCCTTCCTCTTGGGATCCTGAGCTCCACCATCTCATGGTCAGTGAAATGGCTTTGACCATGACAGCCCTTCCTTGTTGGTATGAGGCCCAGCAGAGCACCTCCTCGTCTCCTCTGCCACTTGGGTCAGGAATTTGCCATCAACGCTCTCCAGGAACCTCAACAGCTCTTTAATCCTAACCCTTAAATTCTCATTTGACTATCCATTCCCAGGCAGAGCACCACATGGGAACGTTGCTCTTTTCTTTGCCCTGCCTCTTCTGTACTGTTGCAATTCTGTCGGGTTCTTTTTTATGGCATAGGGTTAGGTGGGCTAATGTCCTGATCTGGTGCAAAAATGTTTCTGAAATGGGAAGCATTTTGTGGCATTTGTTTTGGTGGTGGGGATGATGGTGAAGTGCATTAGGAAGAGGAGGGCTGTCTGGCAAGGCGTTTCAGTCAGGTAAGTCATCACACAGGGATTTTTCTCACTTAGAGCACACACAATTAAAGGGTGCTGTCAATTATTTTGAATATAATGGACCATTTGCAATGACTGAGAAATGGGATATGCCGTGTAGAGCCTAGCCCTTGTCTGAGAGTACTGAAAGTGAAGGAAAGTGCTGATGTGATCGCTCTTACTCGATGAGCTAGGCTTACTGTTTGAATTACACAAGCATACGCACTGTCATACACAGCCTTGGACACTGCCAGCATATGCCCCCAAACCTGTAACTCATCCAACAGTCCTGCTTCATCTAGACAAGAACTTGCCCCTCCCAGTGTGCTGGCCTTGCCTGTGTCCTGGAGATGGCTCAGTGCTGTTGCTCCATGATGGGCTGTCAAAGGTGGAACAGCAGGAAGCCCTCCTGCTTTCTGCAGCAAGTTAAACACACCAACGTACTCGTGAAGCAGCAAGCCCTGCCTCGAGGCAGGCACTTGGTGCTCTGGTAGCCTCCTTTCCGTGCGTGCCTCAAGAACACTGTGCTTTGCTTCCTAGGTGCAAGTGTGGGACACGGCTGGCCAGGAGAGGTTTCGGAAAGAGCATGGTAGAGCACTACTATCGCAACGTGCATGCCGTCGTCTTCGTTTACGACGTCACGAAGATGACTTCCTTCACCAACCTCAAGATGTGGATCGAGGAGTGCAACGGGCACGCGGTGCCCCCCCTGGTCCCCCAAGGTGCTGGTGGGGAACAAGTGTGACTTGAAGGACCTGATCCAGGTGCCGTCCAGCATGGCCCTGAAGTTCGCTGACGCTCACAACATGCTGTTGTTCGAGACCTCAGCCAAGGACCCTAAGGAGAGCCAGAACGTGGAGTCCATCTTCATGTGCCTGGCCTGCCGGCTCAAGGCGCAGAAATCGCTGCTCTACCGCGATGTGGAGAGGCGGCCGGGCCGGGGGCACCGCCTGGAGCTGACGCGCGACGCCAACGGTAAAAAACGCCTGCCCGTGCTGAGCCGGGCGGCCCCGCCGCTGCTACCAATAAAGTCTGTGAGGCTGCACTGCGCCCCGCCTCTTGCTTTGCGCGGCCCGGCACGGCCGGCACGGCCCGGTACAGCCCGGTACGGCTCAGCCCGGCCCCGTACGGCCCGGCCCGGCCCCGCGGGAGCGCGCATGCGCGGGGGTGGGCGGGCTCCCGCGCCCCGCCGCCCGCCATGAAGTAGGTTGTGGGGATGATGGCGGGGGGGGGGGGGAGCGGAAGGAGGGGGATACGGGGGTAAGGCCGGGTGGTCCCGGGGACTCCCGGTGCTCACGGTGTCCTCGCCCCCAGCCCGCTGACGAAGGTGAAGCTGATCAACGAGCTGAACGCGCGGGAGGCGGAGCTGGGCGTGCAGGAGGCGGTGTCGTGGCACGCCGAGTACAAGGACAGCGCCTGGGTCTTCGTCGGTACGGGCGGCGGGGGGGGGAAAGGGGTGAGGGGAGGCGGCTGTGGCCGCTCTCCAGATCCCAGTCCCGGTCCCCATCCCGGTCCCTGATCCTGCTCCCGGTCCCGGTGCCCGTCCCGGTGCCACAGCGCCGCTGCTCTCCCCGCAGGTGGGCTTGCCCTACGAGCTGACGGAGGGGGATGTGATCTGCGTGTTCTCACAGTAAGTTGCCTCGGCCCCAGCCCCACAGCGATGGGGCCCGTGCCCGTGCGGCTGCTCGGGGTGCTCACAGTGTGTTTCAGGTACGGGGAGGTGGTGAACATCAATCTGGTGCGGGACAAGAAGACCGGGAAGTCCAAAGGCTTCTGCTTCCTGTGCTATGAAGACCAGCGGAGCACCCATTCTCGCTGTCGACAACTTCAATGGAATCAAGGTGAGTGAAGCCGCCTGCGATGTGGCTGCTTTTACTCCTGACGCGTGGTTTGAGCTGGCCCTGCGGTTCTCTGGTGTCCCAAAGGGCGCAGGGAGTGGGTCCACAGCTTTGCTAGCTACGTGACTCCCGTTGCAGATCAAAGGAAGGACAATCCGAGTGGACCACGTGGCCAACTATCGGCCTCCCAAGGACTCCGATGATTTAGATGAGGTCACAAAAACTCTCCACGCAAAAGGCTGTGGAGTTAAAACGCCGCCTCATTCGTCGTCTGATTCTTTGTCAGAAGATTGATGATGTGCTGGCAAAAAAGCAAAAGGTGAAACGTGTTTCCTGCCAGTCTTTACTGTGGATGGGTGGGACTGCATGGGGTCTCCAGGGCCCTTAGCTCATGGAAGCAGCATCAGTGGGAACATCAGGGATAGGTGTCTGAAATGGCTTCTGGCCTGAAGTGGCTTCTGGCTTCCAGGATGAGCTGATTTGGCATGGTGATGTTGGTGTGGGGTGTGGGGTGTCAGTTATTCTGAAATCAGCCTGGTGCTTGCAGTGTGCAGAGGAAGCTTCTGTCACACACCTGGGCTGTCTCTGTGACAGGCGGTTATGTCGTTCTGGGTTTGAGACCTGTCTTTACCGCATCCTATTCCCCTATCAGTACAGTAGTTCAGTACTGTGCTGCACAGATTGAGGACACGGGATGGGGGCCTTAGCATGGGGGAGAGGGTGGTATAAGCCAGGTAGAGTCCTAGTTTGAGATAAGTGGGTTGGAGGAAAGAAAATAAGCACAAAACCAAGGCTGGAGACAAGATGTTGCACAGAGCTGAAGAGCTGCGCGAAAATGAGAGAGGCAAAGGGGAGTGAAGATAGAAGAGAATCATTGTCAACTCTGGAAATTACCCAGATCCAATGACATTCTTGTTGTGTGTACATTGCTTAGAAACAGAATTTACAGTAGATGCTAAGCGTTGCAAAAATTGCTCAAATTCATGAGAGCAACCTAGCTGGAGATAACACAAGGTGACAAATGTTTAAAGAAGGACTTAGGGTGACTCACATTGCAGAAGAAAAGTGTCAAGTTTGGCAGTAGAATAGGATATCTGGGGGGGTAAAGAGGCTGTGAAGTATGAGGCTTGGGCCAAGGTGGGAGGAACTCAAAATGGGAGTGGAGTTGGAAAGGTGCTGCGGTGCTAGGTGCAGAGCTTGAGGAGCTGAGATAATGCTTGCAAGACGGTCCACCCCTAAAGATGAATCGTTTGTTTCAGATAAAGAGAAGAGTAGACAAGAAAGGCAAAAGCAGAGCTCTCAGTCTGTGAAGAGGGCAGCGTCTGCGGAGGAGGCACATCCTAGAATCAAGATTAAAAAGGAGAAGGAGATCCTGCTTATGAACGATATGCCGTGGGAGTCATCAGTCCTGGAATGGGTCTGAGAGGAAACATGCGAGCAGGATGCAACGAGAAGAGGAAGAGCAGAGGCATCAGAGGCAGTCGGAGAGAAGAGGAGAAAAGAGCTCCCAGGAACACAGGGGACAAAACAGTTTGCGGGAAGAGAGAGAAGAGACTGGCAGGAAGAGTGACAGGCACAGCAGCAGGCGAGACGAGTCTGAGGGGACCAGATCCAGGGACCAGCGGGAGAGTAGCACCAGAGAGCCCCATTCCAGGCACAGGGAGCGGGGTTCCACTAGAGATTCCAGCCACCACTGAGCTCTCATGTGAGCACCCCCTAGGGCTATGGCTGCTCCCCTTGAGACAGCTGTGCTCCTTGAGCCTAGACAAAAACCTGTGCAGGGCTTCCTGACACCTCTGTGTGGATACCCCAGCTGGTGTTTTGGCCTCCCACAGCTTTGACTTTGTCTCTCATTTCACTTCTCGGACAGGGGTCTCCTTGCTGTCTGTGCTGGCAGGCACCCTGCAGAGCAAAGGTGGCTGCTGAGGGTGGCAGGGTGCTGCTCTCCAAACTGCCCGGCACCATCCTGGTGGGAGCATCCCTGGTGTCTGCAGTGAGAGGCTGCTGGGTGCCGCCTGTGTGTCCTGGGTGCACCCAGCGCCTCTTCCTTGTGTGATGAATCCCAAGAGACGTGCTGTTGAGTTAGAGTGCTTTTTTTTGTGTCTTTATTTTTTTAAACTCTTCTTAATAAAACTGATCGTTAACCAGAAGAGAGAACTGAAGCAGCACTCTCATTTCCTGGTGTGCTTTTTTTGTGTGTCGTACTGTATTGAGGCTGACTCGACCTGAACACCAAAGAAGCGGGGCGGCTCCGGGGGGGGGGGGTGCGCGGTGGGGGCCGGGCCCCGCTGATGGGGGAAGGGGAAGGGGAAGGGGAAGGGGAAGGAAGGGAAGGGGAAGGGGAAGGGGAAGGGGAAGGGGGGCGGCGGGGCCGCGGCCTCAGCCCGGTGCCGCCAGGGGGCGCCGGCCGCCGGCTGCGCGCGCCGCCCGTGCCGGGGCGGTTCCCGTTCCCGTTCCGTGCCCGTTCCCGTTCCCGTCTCCGCTCCCGTTCCCGTTCCGCTCTCGGCTCCGGTTCCGGCGGCGGGGCGGCCCGCGGCCATGCCATGTCCGCGCTGAGCTGGAAACCCTTCGTGTACGGCGGGCTCGCCTCCATCGTGGCCGAGTTCGGTGAGGAGCGGTTCGGTGGCCGGTACCGGTGATCCCGGTACCGCTCCCGGTTCTCTGACGGGCGCTCTCCCCGCAGGCACCTTCCCCGTGGACCTGACCAAGACGCGGCTGCAGGTGCAGGGGCAGAGCGCCGACGCGCGGTTCCGCGAGGTGCGCTACCGGGGCATGTTCCACGCCCTGTTCCGCATCTGCCGCGAGGAGGGCGGCCGCGCCCTACTCGGGGTAAGCGGCGGGGCCCGGGGCCGGGGGGCACCGGGAAGGGGGCGTGGGGGCGAGCATCGGGGGACCGGAGGCTCCGGTGGGCTGGGGCCGCGGGGGGGGGGCACCGGCGTGTGGGGCCTGCGAGGGCAGCGTGCACGGCCCGGAGTCGTCTGGGTGGAAGGGAGCTCCGAGATCACCCCATGCAGCCTGACCTAGCGCTAACCAGGCCTCCGCTAAACACATCACCAGCTCTACATCTGAACGTCTTTTAAAGACCTCCAGGGATGGTGACTCCACCACTTCCCTGGGCAGCCCATCCCAATGCCTCACAACCCTTTCCGTAAAGAAGTTCTTCCTAACATCCAACCTAAAACTCCCCTGGCGCAACTTTAGCCCATTCCCCTCGTCCTGTCACCAGGCACGTGGGAGAACAGGCCAACCCCCACCTCACGACAGCCTCCTTTGAGGTATCTGTAGAGAGCGATAAGGTCGCCCCTGAGCCTCCTCTTCTCCAGGCTGAACAAGCCCAGCTCCCTCAGCCGCTCCTCGTAGGACTTGTTCTCCAGGCCCCTCACCAGCTTCGTCGCCCTTCTCTGGACCCGCTCAAGCACCTCCATGTCCTTCTTGTAGCGAGGGGCCCAAAACTGAACACAGTACTCGAGGTGCGGCCTCACCAGAGGAGACAGGGGGACAATCACTTCCCTAGCCCTGCTGGCCACACTGCTTCTTGTACAAGCCAGGATGCCGTTGGCCTTCATGGCCACCTGAGCACACTGCTGAATTCGCTTCAGCCCGGTCTCGTTTGTTCCCCCGCTCAGGATCGCCCCAGCGCTGCTGAGACAGGCGTCCTACGGCACCATCAAGATCGGCATTTACCAGAGCCTGAAGCGGCTGTTCGTGGATCGCCTGGAAGGTCGGTGTCGGTGCAGGCAGGTCTCTTCCCGCAGGAGGTGCAGCACGGAGCCGTGTGCTTTCTGCTCTGTGTGCTCTGGCTCCTTCCTTTCTCTGCCACCTCTCCCAGCTACAAATTGTCAAAGAAATGGAGTTGTTTTCATCTTCTGCTGCACCTTTTGTTTGTATAATAACAGCAAGGACAGCTTTCAATATAGATTTGAGCCTCACTGTGCTTGGCACTGCCCACAGTCACAGAAATGACCCCTGAGCCAAACACCCGCCCCTCCAGACAGATCTTTACTTTCCCCAGCCTTTATCTCTGATTTTGTGGTTTCAGAGCCCCCCCTCCCAAAACAAAACAAAACAAAAAACCAACAACCCACCCTCTTCCTGTGTATGGCTGTACACCCATACACAGGGCTGCACACCCCTCCTCACTCGCTGTTGCAGCGTTTCCAGTTGTGAGTACTGTTGTTTGAATATTTGTCTTCCTACAGGCCTGGGGCAGCCAGTGGCCTGGTCTCCGCTGGAAAGTGCGGTGGTCAGTACCAGCAAAGGGCCATACCTTCTTCCAACATAACTATCACTCTAATACTGGGCCTGGAAGTCTTAGATTATTTTTTTCCTCCTCTGGGACTAATTGCATCTAACTTTCTCTGCCTGGGTCACCTATTCTCTGTTTTCTCAAGGCGGCCACATATTGAGAGCGTGGCCGGCTGGTGCTCCAGGTTAAAAGTAATTTGTATCAGGTTGCCTTCAGAAATGTTTAGCTGCCCCACTTTGTTACCTCTGTCTTGCTGTTCTCTACTGTGAGAAATGTGTCACTGGGCACTGAAATCAGGTAATGTTTAGAATTTTCATGTGTAGAGGCCTTTTCCTGTCTGATCAGCTAGAATCATCAGTCAGACCTGCTTCTCTCTGACAGCGTGTTGCTGTTTCAGCTTCTACTTTTTACCTCTGGCAGCTGAGGCAGTTGTGGGGATAGCTCTGCCTTGATCTGATTACAAGTTGCCAGTTTCTGCTTGTGCAGCTTCACCATGTGATTTGAGAGCTTACCTTTTCTGTTCTTTCCAGAGCTTCTTGCTTGTTCAGTACAATCTATACACCTTCCCTTTAGACCTTCAGAATCTGACATTCTTTTCTTGGTTGCAGATGAAACGTTGTTAATCAATGTAATCTGTGGAGTGGTTTCAGGGGTGATCTCCTCTGCGCTTGCCAATCCAACAGATGTGCTGAAGGTAAGAAGTATATGTGGCCAGAGACAGCTTCCTTGGTTTGCTGTGTGCTCCTGCTTTCCAGTGAAGATGCATCTTTCCCAGCTGCAGTGACATGTTCTCTAAGCCACTACTGGCATTATTTTGCTAATGTGGGCTTGTTCAGAATGGGAGTAGAAGCCTAGAGCCAATAAAAAAGTTTTGTTTTTGTTTAAAAAAAAAAAAAAATCAAGAAATCTGTAAATCTGTAGGGGTCCAGGCTGTGTTACCTTAACTGGGAAAGGTGAGTGGGGTGGCAGCCAGCCATCAGACCTTCTCAGCTCCATTCCTTTGATGACTGTGCTTAGCTTTGCTGATACAGTTCAGCCCTACCTGTTGTGAAGAGAGTCTGGAGAACTTTCCCATACTTCCCCCTTGTGTGGTTCAACCTTCTCGGGCTGCCTTCAGAAGGGAAAGACCATGCCTGTCACTCTGTGTTGCTTGAATTTTTCACTGCCCTTCCACCTTGTTGCTGTCCCTGCTGCTTGCCTGCCCTCATCTGCTGCATGGTTTGCAGGGAGAGATCGTGTGGGTAGTGGGAGAGCAGTGTCTGCTGTAAGTTTCCCCATTATTCCTTACCACCAGGAAGTCGTTGAGCTGCTGTCCTTGTCCCCCTTGTAGCAGACACTGATGCTGTCCCACTGACTTGTGCATTTCTTTCAGATTCGAATGCAGGCTCAAGGCAGTTTATTCCAGGGTGGCATGATTGGCAGCTTCATCGATATCTACCAGCAGGAGGGTACCCGAGGCCTCTGGAGGGTGAGCACCACCTGATGGATAGTTGTGTTGAGGTTATTTCTGCTCTTTAGACAAACACGCAAGAGGGGAAAACAGAATAGAGAAGAAACGGAGCCCTCTTTGTTGCTGGTGTGTGCTGCAGACAGGTTGCAGTGCAGAGACAGCTCCAATTCAAATTGGATTCCACTGATCAAGCTAGTCTTGTTTCTCTCTGGTTTGGGATAACCACTAGGTAGATCGTGGCTCATAATTTGGCACACTGAAGAGTTGTTCCTGCTTCCAGTGACTGGGAAGCTTTGTCATGATAACATGGGTTTCCCTGAATTACTCGGGTGAGGTTAGAGTTCCTGTGAAATGGCCAAGCTCTGCATTGCTGCTGTGTTCTCTGTGACCTGGTACTCAGTGGAATTGTAGGTGCTTTTACCTGTTTCCTGAGGGTGGTTGCTAGGTTATTTCCCAGATGGAACATAGCACTTACCTAAGCTCATTTTCTTTCCAGTAATTGTTTTGTCAGTTCCCAGATTAATGTCCTGCCACTGGCAACTTTTGTAATACACATCATCTCCTAAATCAACAGTCCTAGCAAAGCAAAATCTAGTTGCTGGCATGTAGCAAGGAGGACCTGGTCCTGGGACTCCATCTGGTTCTCTAAACAGCTGCTGGTTTTGTGGTGCAGGATCTCTTTTGGTGTTGAATCCCCTGGGTACTGTTGGGTGAGGGAAGATGAGTAAATTGTAGCCTAATTCCTGTGTGTTAGTGGCTGAGAGGAGAGAAGCAACATCTGGTTAATCTAGCTGGAGTAAAACTGTCATGGTGCAGGATGGAAGAATCCTTCTTAGCTTTGGAGTTAATGTTGGGAGACAGTGAGCTGGTCCACCTCAAAAGCTGCAGCTGTGAGACAGGGTGAGGAGGATTCCGGGTAGATTGTCAGAGAAAGGCTCCTGACAGGGGAGTGGGAAGAGATGTTACACTAGCTGGCCTTCTGGTAGCAAACTGTGCTTGTGACTGATGTTTGTGCCCCGCAGGGTGTCGTCCCAACAGCCCAGAGAGCTGCCATCGTGGTTGGGGTGGAACTGCCAGTCTATGACATTACCAAGAAGCACTTAATTCTATCAGGCCTGATGGGCGATACAATCTTTGCCCACTTTGTGTGAGTATTTGCTGCAGCTGCTGGACTCTCCAGGCTTGGCAGGGTGTGTGGAGCAGAGGAGCAAGCTGGGATTTGGAGTGAGATCTGTTTGTAGAGCCAAGTGCTCTGGAGCTGCCAAGAACAAGCTCAATACTTCTGAGAGATCTGGTGTGTTGATTGGAGCAGCTCAGGATGCCCAGCAAGTGTCCCTAGAGAGATCTCCCCAGAGAAAGGAACCTAATGAACCCTTTTGGTGAAGTTACAGCTTGAATTTAGCTCACTGATGACCAGACATGCTGTTGTTCCATGTCTCTGCCCTGGTACAAATCGGGCAGGAGTTTTGGTTGTGTAGCAATCAGTTAAAAGAGCTGCTCCAGTCCTAGGTGCTCATCTCTGCAAACAATGTCAGCTTGCAGCCATTGCTGTAAGAGTTTTGTGAAACAGAAGTTTGCAAAACTGACCAAGAGAAGGCCCTGAGCAACCTGACCTAGTTTTAAAGTCAGCCCTGCTCTAAACAAGGGGTGGATTAGAGACCTCCCAAAATCTTTCTTCACCTACATTTTCCTATTATTCTTCTAGTGGACACTTTAGCTGGAGGTGCTGCAGTGCTTCTGTTGGGTTTGCCTGCTGTGGGCTGAAGGTGACAAGCACTAGACCATATGTGCAGGGAGGAGACTAGCAGCTGCATGCTCCCTCTTGCTGTCTTTGGTCTTCCTCCCTCCTTCCCTGCCATGAAGAAATGTTTGCTCTGGGGAGAAGGATGTGCACTTCCAAGAAGGCTGCCTTCAGGTCTGTGTCACCTTGTCAGCACGAAGAAACCCTTGCTGGACTGCAGAATGCAGACCTGGCAGTGGGCTCTGACAGGGACTTAATCAGACGAAACTGAGCTTTTACTTTCCTTAGCTCTCTGGGGTCTCAGAGTGGTGTGATTCCTTTTTCTGGGTGGGAACAGAGAGTACAGCTAATGTTTATTGCTAAATACCCATCATAACATTCAGTGAAAGATACACTTGTGCTTCTGTCACGGCCTTTCTGAGCCAGATTGGCCATACTCAGCTATTCCTCTCTGATGTTTTGGTGTATGTATAGTTCCAGTTTTACGTGTGGGCTGGCTGGGGCCATTGCTTCCAACCCTGTGGACGTGGTGCGGACACGGATGATGAACCAGCGAGCAATTGTGGGCAGCGTGGAGCTCTATAAGGGCACTCTGGACGGTCTCGTGAAGGTAAGGAGGTAACAGGTGGGCAAATTCCTGTTTTTTAGAAAATGGCCAAATTCAAGCTGTTGAAATATGGGCTGGATGAGCAGACAGTGAGGTGGATCAAACATTGGTTGATCATCCAAGCCTGGAGGGTAGCAGTCGGTGGTACAAAGTCTTGGTGGAGGCCAGTAATGAGCGTAGTACCCCAGCAGTCAAAGCTGTGTCCGTACTGCTTAGTGTGCCAGGAAGCTTGGAGCTGTTCTGTATTGAGGGTATTGCACTCTGTGAAGGATGTTTACAGTGCCTGCCACAATGAATTCATCCACAATGCGTGGACTTGCTGAAAGAACACTCCAGGTGTTCCCAGAGCAGAAGTCCTCCCTGGGCCTTCGTCTCTCTGCAGGATCTGTGACTGTACCCAAGTTGTGTCTCATAACTGATACCTCCTCTCTCTTCAGACATGGAAGAGCGAGGGATTCTTTGCACTCTATAAAGGCTTCTGGCCAAACTGGCTTCGGCTCGGTCCCTGGAACATCATTGTATCCTTCAGTGTGTGCTGGGAGGCCATGAACATGGACAGTCAGGGGAGGACAAGCTGTAAGTAGAAGTTCAGAGCAGACACGCTGACGGTGTACCTCTTTGTCTTCCTCACAGTAGCCCAAAGTGAACTCCCTGTTCTGCTTGGACAGATGTAAACCGATGTGGCTGCAGATGGTTCAAGTGCCAAAAAATGCCACTGTTGGCGACTGCTGCTTCTAAAAGCTCTGTAGGTGGTTAGTGCAGGGACTGCCAGTGCAGCAGCATGGATACTTTCCTGTAAAGTAAGTGCTCTCAAGTGTTTGGCTTTAAACTTTCCATTTGGCTTGAGCTGCTAGAGGTGCAGCAGTTTCTGGATTGGCTCCCATTTTTGGGGAAAGCCTGGTGAATTTCTGCCCTTAGGACAGGTGCTGACCTGCTCTGCAGAATCAGCACTTCCGGATTGCTGTAATGGTCCTTCTGGCCCTCTGAAATCTTGTATACAGCTTGTTTTAAAGAATTCAAAATTTAGAAAGTCCCAGTCTGGGGTTAGAGTCACCTCCCATTCTCAGTGGTCTTGGCAAGCCTGGCCCAGCTTGCTTCTGGGTCAGTCTCTTCCCTCTTGGTAGCTCTCCTGCAGCTCTCTTCCACCTCTACAGATCACTTTATGCTGCCTGGAAGAGGGACTTCCCCACGGGCTTTCTGTGCTGATCTACCTGCCTTGCCTTGTCAGGTACGGCCTGGTTATGAGGGAGGTTCAGTGCAGCTGCTATATATATAGTTGTCTGTCCCAGTTCCTTAACTTCCTCTTCAGTTTTTTATCACATATGAGCAGTTGAAGCGACTTCCGTTCTGAGAGCTGGCTGCATTCCGTGGGTGTCATCTTCAAGACTTGCAGCAGTATTTTGCTGCAGCCTTCCTCTTCATTTCACCATCCCCGTCTTTTGATGTGTTGGTACATGTGGGTCTGGACTCTCCCCCTCCCCCAAATGCATGGTCCCTGGAGCATGTTCTGGCTGAAGTATAACTGAGAGGCTGATTGCAGGTACTGCATGTTGTTTTTTTTCACACAGAAGCAAGTATTAACTGTGTACAAGTGTCTGGGCCTGAAGCAATATCTTCTGTGAAGATCTGTGCATTCCAGTGGCCTTTTGATGCAGCTGTGGTTAGTTGTTTGGCTCATGTGCATTGTTCTGCCGTGCCTGTGGGGTGAGGCTGGAGGCTGGAAAAGGGGTGCTGTCATGTTTTCTTGCGGATCTGTAACCTCATTAAATTATTTATTGACTGGATGGTATGAGTTTGTGTTTGTGCAGACTTACAGTAGGTATATTTTCCAGAGCAGATGGTGTGTCTGCCTTTGGGGAGAACATGAAGTATTTTTTCTGCACAATGTGTATCTTTTTTTCCCCCAAATATATATTTTTTTCTTATCAATTTTTACGTTTTGTTGTAATATAAAAATTTCTAAAACAGTTTGTTACTGTCAGGAAATTGTTACCTTAGTTTTGCAAAACCTCAGTCTCTCATAACCTTATTGTTTATATTATTTTTAAAGCAAAGTAAATTGGTTTAAAACTGAACTCAGATGCCCCGCTTTAAGATGATGGTCTAACATTTCCAGCGCAAAGCAGAACATCAGGTTATTTTCATCATTCTCTTCTGTGTTGTTTTGTTTTGTTTTGTTTTTAATGCATATGTCTGTGAAAGCAAACAGCTTAGGTTTTCCTATTTCCTTCCTTCTTTATGGGGCAGCTTTAGTTTGGATGAAGGTCTCTTGTGACATACAGCAATGCTTCCTGTTCACGAGTGCTGTAAACCGCGATTTTCTGTGCAAATTGCATAAGGGATGTTCAGCTGAACTGAGGGAATTGTTTGCTGTGGTTTTGCAAAGACCTGGGTGTACTGTACTAGCCGAATGCATAAGGAATTTGACTCCAGTAAACTCCTGAACTTAAATCATGCCATAACAGAGTAGCAGCCTGTAGTATTCTACAGGGCCACAGCTCCTTCTCGTAGGGCTGGGAGGATTGTTTTCAGAGTTAAACCACAAGATACCAGAGACTGGGAACAGTGGATTGAAAGAAATGGACAACATGCATATGCTTCACCTTGCTTTACTCCTCAAGAGAATTTCTAAACATTACAAGTAAATAAATAGTTACGTGATGGATGAATATGAGTCCATTTGAGAGATGTAATTTAACTTCAGTTCCATATATTCTTTTGGTTTTCTTTGGTGTTCCTGTATCTTCAGTTCTGGAGCAGTTTCTTCTGTGCAACTCCATGCTATATTGCTATTGTTAATTTTTGGACTGCTCATGTGACAGTTCTTTGCTATCGGCTGTTGCTAACCTGTCTTCGTTCTTCAGGCTGCCAAAGCTAGGTGCGTGTGTCGATCTGCTCGAGGGTAGGAAGGCTCTGCAGGAGGATCTGGATAGGCTGCACCGATGGGCTGAGGTCAACTGTATGAAGTTCAACAAGGCCAAGTGCCGGGTCCTGCACCTGGGGCGCAATAACCCCAAGCAGAACATAGGCTGGGAGAGGAATGGTTGGAGAGCTGCCAGGCAGAGAAGGACCTGGGAGTGATGGTGGACAGTCGGCTGAATATGAGCCAGCAGTGTGCTCAGGTGGCCAAGAAGGCCAACGGCATCCTGGCTTGTATCAGAAACACTGTGACCAGCAGGGCTAGGGAGGTGATTGTCCCCCTGTACTCGGCTCTGGTGAGGCCGCACCTCGAGTACTGTATTCAGTTTTGGGCCCCCGCTACAAGAAGGACATCGAGGTGCTTGAGCGGGTCCAAAGAAGGGCGACGAAGCTGGTGAGGGGCCTGGAGAGCATGTCCTATGAGGAGCGGCTGAAGGAGCTGGGCTTGTTCAGCCTAGAGAAGAGGAGGCTCAGGGGTGACCTTATTGCTATGTATAAGTACATTAAAGGAGGCTGTAGAGAGGTGGGGGTTGGCCTGTTCTCCCATGTGCCTGGTGACAGGACGAGGGGGAATGGGCTAAAGTTGCGCCAGGGGAGTTTTAGGTTAGATGTTAGGAAGAATTTCTTTACTGAAAGGGTTGTGAGGCACTGGAACGGGCTGCCCAGGGAGGTGGTGGAGTCACCATCCTGGAAGTCTTCAAAGACGTTTAGATGTAGAGCTTAGGGATATGGTTTAGTGGGGACTGTTAGTGTTAGGTTAGAGGTTGGACTCGATGATCTTGAGGTCTCTTCCAACCTAGAAATTCTGTGAAATTCTGTGAAAGAGCTCCTCAGAAATGCATAAAGAATGTATCCATGGCCACTTTGTTGTTTGTATTTTTCAATGCGAGGTGCTGATGAGAGGCTCTTCTTTCCCCCATCTTTCCTTTGGATCAGCTTCCCCACATGGCTTTGGAGATGCTCCTTCCACTTGCTGGAGTGGTCCTCAGCCCCTTGAGGTATCCCTTAGCTGAGCTTTCACAGAATGTTAGGGATTGGAAGGGACCTTGAAAGATCATCTAGTCCAGTCCCCCTGCTGGAGCAGGAACACCTAGATCAGGTCACAAAGAAACACCTCCAGGTGGGTTTTGAATGTCTCCAAAGAGGGAGACTCCACAACGCCCCTGGGCAGCCTGTTGCAGTGCTCTGTCACCTCACCATGAAAAAGTTTCGTCTTGTATTTAAGCAGAACCTCCTATGTTCCATTGCACAGTCTGTCAAAAATGCTGCCTCACTTTGTCAATAGTAACTGCAAGTAAATGTGTGGTGGTGGTGATCTCTGCAGATGTGGCACTGAGGTGAAGGCTGGTTGTGAGCTCTGCCTCACGTTACGTGCCTTACCACAGCTGTCTTCTGAAGGTGCTCATAAAGCCCTTCATCCCCAAAGCATCTTGACTTTGCAGCCAACAGGGAAGAAAAGCTGAGTCCCTTTGGGTTTCTCAGTTGGTGAAAGACGAGTATGTGGCCAGGTGTTTCAAAAACAAACAAAAAAAAAAACAAAAATCCCAACCCTTAAACCTCGGTGGTAACTGTTTGTGCAAGTGGCTAGCACTGTCAGAAACGTGGCATTTTCGAAGGAGGTTCGTTGCCTCAGGTTGTTCTTCCTGGAAAAACTCCCTAAATGGGTCTTATTCTCTCTCAAGCGTATGTGTTGTTGTTTTTTAATGTTTTCTTAGCCATACCAAGTACTACGTGAGACTGTGGCTGCGTAGTCTGTGTACCCAGTTAGTCAAACATGTTGATGCAGATCCTACAATTGCCTCAGGAAGCAGGGGTACCTGAGCTACCAGGGCCACAGCTGCCCCCCTCTGTGTTGGCCATGTTCATGCCCTGAAGGTGTTACCATCTCTGCCTTCAGTGGCTGTGCCATTCTGCAGTGTGCCTGTGTGCCGAGGCATCTTCCTAGAGTATATATAACAGGGGCAGTGGGTGGTGGTGGGCTGTGGGGGCTATTGTGCAGCAGAAATGTGAACTGGCACTATGGGAAGGAGGAATTGCTGCCTCTGGTACCTGCTGGGCCAGCCGTGGTCTCACAGCTTGAGGTCTGTGCTGCTAAGCGATGGTATGGTCTTGTGAAAACACCTGCTGAGTCCTGAAATGGGTGGAGGAGCCCCTGCGGAGCAGGTTTGCTCTCTCACCAGGAGTTATGTGGGACAGAGCAAGATGTCCACAGGGAGGGAGCAGCTCTGGTTTCTGTTTGTGCTTTGTCCCCACGCTGTCCTGCCACTTCTCCCTCTAACTTCCTGCCCCCCTTGATCCCACGCTGTGGAATTTGGACCTTCCCCCCCATCAGGACTAAGGCACCCCAAATGTTTCTTTGTATGAGACTCCCCATGGTCCAGGGTCACGAAGGCTGGGCAGGGGTAACAAGGTGGCTCTGAAGCACTCCTGCCACCCTATTGTCCATGGAATTACAGCACCGTGCTGGGGACTGGCTGCACCTCTCAGCCCAGACCTACTGTTACCTCTTCCCAGTGTCTGGCCCTCCCTCTCTGGGTTGACCCCAAGGGCTCTGGGGAAGGTGATCAAGGAAGGAAGTAACCAGCATCTATACAAGGTGTCAGGAGGGGTCCTGCAGCCTGGTGGGAGAGAGGCTGGGGAGAATAAATCACCTGGACAGGAAAAAAGAGGAGGCTGTAAGGACACCAAAGTTCTTCCCCATGGCTTTTTGTGCTGTGCAGACCCAGGGTCTTCACAGGCCCATGGTTCTGTTCACAGTGGCCTCAATTTATGTTTGCTGCATCCTTCCTCCCTGCTGCAGTATCCACAACCTGCCCTGTACCATGCTCTGCCCTTGGCCATGTCCTGCTCTTGGTTCTCCCCAGCAGCCTGCTCTCCTCAGATTGCTATTTGACAGAGGAAGTCTTTACCCTTCCCTGTTTTCCTCGCAGCTTTGTTTTTTCCAGCTCACGTGGCAGGAGAGGTGGCTTGCGGCCCTTTGTGTAAAGGGATCAGTATTGTTTCCTTGGCCTCACGGGAAGAGGCTGCCCTCGGTCTGGCAGTGACCCTGCGGAAAGGAAGGCCTGTGAGTTGTGCCACCTCTGCATCCCGTGAGGGTTGTACAGTTGTTACTGCTTGTTCTCCTTCGTTAGTGCTTGGGTCAAAGCAGGGCATCGTCTCTGCTCAGGTTTTTGGTGCTTGGCTGGAGGTGCCCACCTCCCGATGTGCCATCACAGCAGCACTGCTGGACAGGGAGGAGCGACTGGGGTACGATCCTAGTGCCAGAGTGGACTGTGGCCTCTGAGCAGGTCTCACGGTCATCCTGCAGGAGATGTTAGAAGGCCAACGACAGCATGGGCAGCCCTGGGGGGGCAGGGGATGCTGTGCTGCCAGAGGGGCAGGGAGCCAGGGGAGCATGAGCGGGCTGTTTGTGAGAGCAGCGTCAGCCTGGCCTTGCTCGGGCTTCCTGCCCAGGTGCTCTGTGCTCACCCTCCTGCTCCAGGGTTGTCTGGAAACGTGGCTGAAGGGGAGGGACCTGCGTGGCACAGCGGGTGCTGTGAGTACACCAGTCCCTTCCAGCAGGCAGCTGCACAGCAGAGCTCTGCTCCTCGGCCCGCGACACCACTGCACCCAGTGCTCTCACAGCACTACCTGGAGAGTGAGGGGCTGCGCCTGCTGCTGCTTGCTCGCTGAGCTGTACGTACCAAGAAGTACCAGGTGAGGGATGCTCTAGGATCGTGGTGGAGACACACAACCTTCAGGCTGTGCCCCACAGTGGCCAGATATGGCTAACTCGGCACTGGGAACCATCCTGGCTGTTCTGGCCTCGCTCATCATCACTGCCAACGTACTGGTGGCCATCGTCCTTCTTCGCCTTATCCAGAAGAGCGGCTACAAGGGACACTATTTTGTCCTTAATCTCGCTGTCGCAGATGCCATGGTTGGCTTCACGGTTATGGGTCTGGTCATGGATGAGTTTTCTGAGCCCTTTTATCCACCTCAGATCTTCTGTGTCCTGCGAATGGCTTTTGTGACTTCCTCTTCTGCTGCTTCTATCCTGTCCTTGATTCTGGTTGCGTGTGACAGGCACTTGGCAATCAGAAAGCCTTTCCACTATCTCCAGTTGGTCACGGGCTTGAGGGTTGGGTTGCGCCTGGTGGGGCTCTGGCTGCTTGCCGCTATCATTGGCTTCCTCCCAGTGTTTGTCCCAGTCTTTCAGAAGATCTCTGACCAGGAAAAGTGTTCCTTCTTTGGAGTCTTCCAACCCACCTACATGCTCAGTGTCTCCTGCATCGGCTTCTTTCCAGCACTGTTTCTCTTCATTTACCTCTACTGTGACATGTTGAAAATTGCCTCTGTGCATGTGCAGCATATCCGTGAAGTAGAACACGCGGGGCTGGCAGGGAGCTGCCCCCCACCCCACACCACTAGTGACATGAAGGCCTTGCGCACCGTGGCTATCCTCATCGGGTGCTTCGCGCTGTCCTGGTTGCCATTCTTCATCGCCAGCATCGTGCAAACTGTGTGTACCAACTGCTTAACCTACAAAGTCATCGAGAGCTACCTCTGGCTTCTGGGACTGTGTAACTCCCTCCTGAACCCCCTGCTCTACTCCTGCTGGCAGAAGGATGTGCGGCTGCAGTTCTCCCAGCTAGCTGCCGGTGTAAAGAGGAGAGTCCTCCTTCACTTGGGCAATCGCCACCGTTTCCCCGGCAGAGGCACCAAATCCCTTCCTACCGTGTCCTGCTTGCGGCTCCAGGACTGACGTGGTAAGGAGTAGCAATCACTCGCTTTCTGGGTTATCTCCTCTGCCACAACCATGAACTCAGGGTCCGCCAGCTGTGGAGGAGATCATGGACAGGGTGGGACAGGACTGGATGCTAATTCCCAGACACCAGCGTGGCCAGCACGGCTGGTTTTGCAGCAGCTCCAGGGCAGCCCAAATTGCAGGTGCACAGCGTGTGTTAAATTTTGCTTGGAGAGCACTCAGCAAGAACAGCCTCGTGTCTGCTGGGACCAAGCCCTTGGCACCCACTCCACAGGCCAAGATCCTTCACCTTTTGCTGTCTAGGTTCCCCAGTCCATACCTGGGGTCCTTCTGCATTCCCCTCTGCCTGCAGAGTCAGCTGTCAGGGTCAGGTCCCCCGGCACCTGGGGCAGGGCTGCTCTCACTGTGTTGGCTTTGTCACCCTTGGCCAGATGCAGTAGAGATTGGGAGATGTGTGCACATCTGTCCAGGACCACATGTGCTCCCAATCACTGCCCTACTTAAAACAAACTCAAAATCCTACAGATGCAGTCAGGGCTGTCCCCCAAAACCTGTCCCCTGACTGCAATCAATCCTGCATCTGGAGAGGTGGCAGGCTCATCCCTCCCCCAGGCTGCACCTGCCCCAGGCAGAGGTGAGGGGTACGGATGGGCCTGGGGTCTCTGCTGTGGTGCAGGGGATGCAGTCAGGGCTATGCTGTTCTTCAGCAGCAGCTGTACCTGCACCAGAGCAAGTGCTGAACAACCCCAGGCACTACATGCCTGGGAGAAGTGCAGGGCAGCACAGGTTGTGCTGTCACTGTTTGGCTTGAGCTGTAAAGTGAGTTAATGAGTAACCACCTGAATGCTGTGCTTTAACAAAGGAGCAGGAAGAAGACCTTGGAGACGGGAAACCCTGTGCAGAAGGGCTGCTTTGTCCCACCAAGGCTGTAGGATTGGTAATGGGACTGCAAAGGTCCCTCTATACTTACTCACAAGGCAGGGTGCACACAGCATTTGTGCGTGTTGTCTCACACTGTGGTGATGGCCAGACTGCTGGCCCTGCCAGAGGCTATGGTAACATTGAATTGCTTTTTGTTAAATCACATCCATTTAATCCACATAGTAATAATTTTTTCCTTAAAACTGGTTTCTTAGCTAAGAACTCACTCTTCATCTGAAGATGAGGATGCTATGCATAAAATAGCAGCTTGCTTCTACCTCTGTCACTTGCCCTTCTAGTAGATATGAAGGCTCAAGGCCATATCCTGTATGCGTGCAGAACCTGCCTTGGTTCTGAGGCCTATCCCCATACCAGAGGAAGAGAAAAAAATAAAAGTGCTCTATTAAAAACAAACAAAAATCAGTGGGCACTCTGTGGCACTCCTCTCTCTGCCTGGGAAAGGCCTGAGACCAAACAGCATTAATCAGATCCTGTGCTAGGAGAAGAGCCTGAGATAAGGCTCGTGTAGGATAGACCTGGCTCTGTGTGTGTGAACTGGTGCCTTGCAGGTGGATCTAGTGGGTGGATCCAGTCTGACTCAGTTCTGGGGATCAGTGCATCATCTGTCTGCATGATATGTTTGCTGTGTGAGCTCCAACAGCTGTTGCTTTGCAAAGCTGACCTGTCCTTGCTGAGCGTCTGACGATGCTGAAGCCATCCTCTGCCTCCCTCACGTGTGCTTCACATGTGAATACCCACTGTGAATGGAGATGCTTTGCAAGCGGGCCTCTTGCTGCTTTCCAAGCTTGCTGACTGCTGCATCCACTGCTGTTCTGCTGCCCACAGCGGGCCCAGCCACGGATAGGGTTTGTGCCTGGCACAGAAGATCTGGAACAGGCGGCTGTCACACTGGGTGCCCTGCAGCAGTACCCCTGGATGTGTGGACCTGCAGCCACAGGGAGCCCCTGTCTGCCTGCTGGGATTACAAGCTCCTGACCACCTCCTCAGTGCCAGAAACAGCCACAGAGACCCAGGGTGGTGGCTGGATGGGTGAGGATAACGTCCCTTCTGTTGATTGTCGGGCTGGAGAATGTAGTCACGCTGGAAACAGAGCATCTAGCAGAGGATCCCTCGCTGTCCCCTGGCGCTGACCTGCCTGTCCTCCCTCTCCTTGTGCCTGGGCTGGAGGTGGTGCTCTCAGGAGACACCTCAGGACCTGACGGGGCCGCTTGTGGTGTGAGACCGTGCCTGGCCTCCGCACAACCATCCAGGTTGGAAGAGACCCCAAGACCGCATAGCCCAACCTCTGCCCTAGCACTACCAAGCCCTGCACCGAACCACAGCGCTATCCTGCATCCCAGAGAGCGCCCATCCCCAGCTCTGCCTCACGGTGACCGGGCACCGAGCCCTGGGCGTGTGGGGAGGCTGAGGGGTGAGGGGGGCCCGGCACCATGGGGAAGGGGGTCGAGGAGCGGCTCCCCTGCCCGCTGTCCCCCCGCCTGGATGAAGCCCGTGCCTGCGCTATAAATAAATAAACAAACAAATAAATAAGTTATTAAGTTTATAAGTTTATTAATTAATGACGAAGAGGAGGAGGAGGAGGAGGAGGAGGAAGGGGGGGGAGGCGCATCCATCCCCGCCCCTCCCGTGGCGCAGCCGCCATGGGGCCGGGCCGGGCCCCTCAGAGCCGCCCGCGGATTCCGCCTCTATCCCGGCGTGCCGTGCGCGGGCGGCCCCTCCCCGCCCCCTAGCGACGCGGCAGCCAATGGGAGGCCTGGGAGAGCCGCGCGGAGGGGCCGCGGCGCGGATGTTCGCTGAGGGCGGCCGCGGCGGGGCCGGGCGAGGGCCGGGGCCGGGGCCGGGAGCGGGACCGGGATCGGGGCCGGGACCGGGACCGGGTTCGGGATCAGGGCAGGGATCGGGAACAGGATCGGGAACAGGATCGGGAACAGGATCGGGGCCGGGCGGTGAGTAAATGCGGTCAGGGCCGGGCCGGGAGCGCGGGGCCGTGTCCCTGGCGGCGGGCGGGCGGCCTGCGCTGCGTCCGGGCCCGAGTCAGGCCTCGGGAGGGCCCCGGAGGCAGCCGGGGGGGGCTGTGGGGGCTGTGGGGGGCTTTAGGCCCTGGTCCGGCCGGTTCGGGCGCGGCTGCGGGGCGCAAACGCGTCCCCAGCGGCACGGAGCGCCCCGCCCCACGCAGCGCCAGGAGGCCGGCATGTACAGCTGGGTACATGTACACAGACGGCTGCACAGGTGTTGATTTGGTTCTTCAGGCATTATACTCCAGCGTTATGCTTCTGTGTTTCTTCCTGTCTTATTTTACTCCTATTTTGGTACATACCTCAAGGTCTGTCTATTAACAGCAGCGTACACTCAGATCACGCTGCACATAAATGCTTTTGTCCTTAATGCTGTGCTTCTTACACGAACACGTCAGTCCTTGGATAGATTGCTCGTTACTCCACATACTTTCAGTCATTTTTATCTCCCCTGTACTTGTGCAGCTGCAGGAGGTGAGCACCACGTTTTCCTGACCTGCAGAGCGTTGCTGCACAGCAGTGCAATGACAGATAAAATGCGAAGGCGACCTGAGGTACAGCTGTTTGTCCAGTAAGCCTGAATTCCTTGCCTGCTACTCCAGCTTTTCATCACTTATCAGGGAGTATAATGATAAGATGAGCATAACGACTTTAAACTAAAAGTTTATATTAGGTATGAGGAGAAAAAAATACTGTGATGGTGATGAAGCCCTGGCACAGGTTGTCCAGAGAAGTTGTGGGTGCCCCATCTCTAGCAGTGCCCAACGCCAGGCTGGCATGGGGACTGGAGCAACCTGGGCTGGGGGCAGGGGGGTTGGAACTGGGTGATCTTTAAGGTCCCTTCCATCCCAAGCCGTTCAGTGATTCTATCTCCTGCCGTCTCTGGAAGCTGAGGAGTTGTTTCCTCTGTTTCTTGTTATTACATTTGGGGCACTCCGTGACATCTAACTGCAAAGCTCTCTGTGTTAAGTTGTTGAAAGCTCTGTCTGAGCCACTGTAAGGTCAGGTTTCTTAGCTTAAGGTCATGTTTTTGGTATCAGTGACTTCAGCTCGTAGAAGGGGTGAAGTTCAATCTCCAAGTAATTTCAAAGATAAGGTGTTGCTAGAGAGGCATTCATGAATACCTTCCAAAGATGGTGTGAGATTTCTCACCTAATCCCCAACTTTTCTGCTGACATTCTTCCAGTGCCAACGTGTTCATCCCAAAGCAGCATTCTCCTACAACACCCAGCTGCTCTGCTCTCAGCTGAGACTGCAGTTCTGGTCCTCGTGCTGGTGCTAGTAGCTGTCCCGTGGCCTCTGGTCTGCTTCTGTCTCTGCAGGATTCTTTGTTTGGGGAGCAGCAGCCATCCCTATAGGCCAGGTTTGTGCAGGATTTGTGATGATCCTGGCTGCTGGCTCTGCTGGAAGCTGAGAGGCTGTTCTCCTGCAGAAGGGAAAACTCTGGGGAGATGTTACAGCAGCCTTCCAGTACCTAACGGGGGGGCTACAAGAAAGCTGGAGAGGCACTCTATCAAGGATTGTGGCAGCAGGACAAGAGATTATGGCTTTAAACTAAAAGAGGACAGGTGTAGGTTAGGTATAAGGAAGACATTCTATGCTGTGAGTGTGGTGAGGCACTGGGACAGGTTGCTCAGAGAAGCTGTGGATGCCCCATCCCTGGAGGTGCTCAGGGGCAGGCTGGATGGGGCTTTGGCAGCCTGGGTTGGTGGGAGGTGTCCCTGCATCCCCTGCAGGGGGTTGGAGCTGGCTGGTCTGTAAGGTCCCTTCCAACCCAAACTATTCTGAGTGTGAATTTTCCAGGGGAATTCACTCTCCTTCTCCACCCCAGTAGGTCTGTGTCAGAGGGTCAGTTATTCCTGCATCCCTTCACTTGTAGAAACACATTTCATCTGCTTGTGTGTATAATTCTGCAGAGGTGATAGAAATGTAAAACTGCTCTTGACAGGGATGAGTCTCTGAGCCTTTCACAGTGGCATTTTAGATCGTGAAAGTGTGAGTTTGTGCGTTTGTGCAAAGGTGCATGTATTAATTTCCCGAAATACTGGGAGTGAGGTTGGCAGGGTGGCTTCTGGAGAGCTTTGTATCCCAGCTGGACGATGAGCTGTCTGGGATTAGGTGTGTTCCTCTCCGTGGGCTGCAGCTACATGCTGCACCAGAGTATGTCTGCACACTGCCTGGAAGCACAGGTGTCAACATGAAACAACTTCTGGATGCTGTGTCACGGGAAAGGTGGTTTGGCAGAATGATGTGGGCATCCTAAAAATACTCCTTGCTGTGAAATATTTGGAAATTTGTCACAGTGGTGAGGCCATGTAGGCTTTGTGAGGACTGTTGAGGGCTTGCCACAGGGATGCAAAGAGCAGGCGATGGTGGATGTACACGGGTAGGTACGTCGTGTTTCCCTTTGTGTCTTCTCTGTTTATAGCAGGAAACAGAAAGCACGTCACACACAACTTGATCAAGCCTCCATGCTTTTGCTGCTGTGTTGGCAGTGGTTTGTGAATACGTGCCACTTGAAAACACTGCAGGTGGACCTTTAGTGTTATGAATGTTGTGTCTTTGGAGGCAAAGAAGAGAGTAAGTCCTTACATCTCCTTTTTTACAGTGCCCTGCTAGAATAAGCTTGCCTGAAGTTCTTTCTTTTCCACTACAAGCTTCCAGAATCCAGAAGTGGGCTGTGTGCCTTTTATCTTCAAGGATTACCAGGACTTAATCTTTTGTGCAAAGGCAACTAACTTCAGGCATGCCGATGGGGTTCGTTTAGCTGCGTGCCAGTGCTTAGAGCATTGATGTATGAAATCCCTCACGGATTCAGATTTATTACTGCTAATCAGTTCTCCAGCTGCTCTTTCACCTCCTTGCCCCACGCCCAAGAATCAGCCCATTGGTGTCAGTCACTGGAGACTGATGGTGACACATGCGGCTGCAGTTTGTAAACTGTCCTAACCTGGGCTCTTGATGCCTGGGCTGTCGTTGCCTGCTGGTGGGGAAGCGCAGCGCTGGTTTTACTGACCCACCTTCCTTCTGTGCGCAGTGGCTTTTGTGGGTCTGTACTAAGACAGGAGCCTTGTGTGGGAGCTGAACCATCCACCTTTCAAACAAACAGATAAGCAAACTGGAAGGGGCAGGAGAACTGGCTGAAACACTGAAGTATTATCAGCATCTTGCCATGTTCCTCGTGCAGTATGCAGGTACCGTGTGCGTTTCATGGCGTTCTCTTGAGTGTGCATTTCTCTGAGGCTGTCTGGATGAGAGTCGTTAGAATAAAGGATTATGTGGAATTGACAGGAGTAACTATCAAAAGCATGTTGGTCTCTTCAGTGTGCTTAGGCAGCTTCTCTATCAACGTGTGTGTCTGCTAAACTAATTGTTATAAAGCTCCAGCTGTTCACACAGGAATACAGCAGAAAATTGTGCACAAGCCCAACAGTAGATTTTAAACCTGGGAACTATTGCAGAAAGCAAATGTTTGGTGTTGAAATGTGACTTCAAAGCCTCGGTATCTTGATTCTCTCCTTTCCTTTTCTTGTTGTTTTCTTTTCTCTGTGTTTTCTAATTGGTTACTGTCGGTGTTCCGTACTTTTTCTTCCCAAATTTATTTCTTTAGACGTGAAAACAAGTAGTATGTAAGCAGACGGGAGTTTGTATTCCGCAATTCTGTTTGTTTCTGGGTAAGAAAAGGGACCGCTGCCCAGGTTGAGAAATAAGTACTTCCAACATTTGCCAATGTTGGCAAAAGGTAGGTCCGTATTTATAGCAAAGCCTGCGTCAGCCCATTTCTGTTCTTCCTTCTTTATGCTGAGGCAAGTGGGAAGCTTGGTGAATGGTATAAACCATGTGGACTTTCTAAGTGTGTGATTAAAATGCTTTTTGGTATATGAAGGTGTCAGGGTACTCATTACTACTTTTTTTTTGAGTTACAGGGGATGAATTTACGCACTTGCTTTTCGTTAACTAGTTGGATGGCGAGACGTTGGAACGCCTAAACGGTGGTAGCATGAGGTTGCTGCTAGGGCGTGCGCCCTGGGTGAACTGCTCTGCCTCTAAAGCAGTGCTAGGCTTGTGCACAGAGCTTGTGCTGTCATTTAATCAAATGTTAATGAATCCAGCAGGTAAGATTTTTGCAAAAATGTTGAAGTGGAAGCCCCGTTGAGGTACTGTTTTAAGGAATACAGTTTTAAAGCACACCCAGCTGTGCACAGTCGCGTTTTGGGTAGAATTGTTGCTGGCATTTCCAGCTGTCAGTAATAAGAATGATCTGTAAAACAATGCTTTTCAGTTCAAATGAAGTTGGTTCTCTCTTTTTTTGCTGGTCATTAAGACCAATGGCCAAGTTCTGTTAGCAGGAACGACTGGTTGGAAAATGAAATCTTGTCGAGGGGCTGGCATGAGACCCAGTGAGGATAGATCATTACGTTCATTTATGCCTGGAACATCATGATCTTCCCTATCTCTATTCAGGCTCCTTCTAAACGTGTGCTGTGAGAGCTGCAGCTTCCATCTGTGCGTGTATTTGTGTCTGAGGGGATACGGATCGGAGCTAAAGCTCAATGTTAGTTCACAGACACAATATAACAGGGAATTGTTCCTAAAAGTGGCTGCTGGGCACTGCATTCACCTGTTGTAGGGTGAAAATTTTGGTATAACGAGGATTTCCCATAATGTGTAATTTCATTATGTGAGCAACAGAGAAATGGACTCCGAAGCACGCTGAAAATCTTCTCCCTGGCTTGGTTTGTTCTGGGAACAGAACCCGTGCTGCAGGAGCGCAGCAGCAATGTGCTCACTGTGCTGCTTCTGTTCTCGCTAATATTGCCTCTGTTGCCTCTTGGCCTTTCTTCATTTTGGGGTAGCAAGTTACAGCTTTTCCAAGCTGGAAACTTGGGAACTTCTCAATATTTAGCGTGTTGTAACAGAAATACTGTCACTTGCTTCCCCAAAATGAAGAAAGGCCAAGAGGCTGCGCCTCGAGTGCTGCGTTCAGCTTTGGGCCCCTCAATACGACAAGGACACTGAGGTGCTGGAGTGTGTCCAGAGAAGGGCTACGAAGCTGGTGAAGGGTCTAGAGAACAAGTCAAGGAATGGTTGAGGGAACTGGGGCTGTGTAGTCTGGAGGAGTCTCGGGGAGCCCGTATTGCTCTCTCCAACTGTCTCAGAGGAGGTTGGAGTGGGGCATGGGGGTCAGTCTGCTCCAAAGCAACAAGTGATGGGACAAGAGGAAAAAGGTGCGCCAGGGGAGGTTTAGGTTGGATATTAGAAAAAAAAAAAAATCTCTGAAAGGGTTGTGAAGAGCTGGGACAGGCTGCCCAGGGAAGTAGCTGAGTCACCATCCCTGGAGGTATTCAGAAGCCGTGTAGATACAGTGCACAGGGACGTGGTGCAGGGGTAGACCTAACAGTGCTAGGATAAAGCTTGGATACGATGATCTTAGAGGCCTTTCCCAATCCTCAGTGATTCTGTGATTCATCAGCTCCCAGCTTCTTCAGCTTCTGAATATTTCTGGCTTGTGGGATTCTTGTCGGAGTCTATTGAAAGAGGACAGTGGGCTTCTCTTCCAGAGCACTTGGACCACGTGGCAAGTAAGTTGTAAATGCAAAGGGTTAGCTTTCAAACCAAGGAAGTCCTTTCTTTCTATTTTCATCTTTTGAAGAGGTTTAGGCTGTGTGGAAGAGCACATACAATGAGAAGGGCGGCTCTAAAACAGTTTTGACATTGAGAAATAATTTGTTTGGCATAAAGCAATTAACTGGAGTGAGTTTTATGACAAGAGTGCAAACTAACGATAATATTTTCAGTCACAAAGCATGATTTGAAGCCATAACGTTTTCGCTCTTTAAATCTTAGCTCCTAATTCACAGGAAGGAATCTTTGCTGCCTCAGCACTGCCTCAAAGTGCATCCTATGCCTGTGAAATACCAGTTGGAAAAAAGGTTATAGAAAAGTCAGTCTCTTGTGCTGGAAATCTCTGAGCAATATACTACTTTTGGGTTTTATTCCTACTCTTGTCCCCTCGTTGTACTGGTATCGCCGTTTTATGATTGCTCTGTAAGACGTGTCAGCTGTTGTATGGCTTGAGGTTAAAAACAAACCAAAATCCTCCAGCGGAGGGAAAATGAGGATTTTAAACCTGACCTCTTCACTGATTTACTCCCGATGTGGTCTCACAAATATTGCAGTGGCGTGACCTCAGCCATGGCTTGATGGGGCGGTGAATCTGGAGCTGAATTCCTGGTACCAGTGCCCCTTAATCATGCCCTGTGGGGTTATCACTGAGCATTAATCTGACACCGTGAATTTGTGCTAGTGCAAAAAATGCTGCTGCATTCACGTCTGGGGATCATGTGTTGCATCTGTTACGGATCATATCAGATTATATTTAATGGGGAGCCCATAAATAATATTTTTTTTGGGAGTGGGCTATTCGTGAGATGTCTGGAGCAAGTCCATGGTCCGTTCTCCAAGGACTGTGGTGTCTCTGGTTGTCCTTATCATGCTTTTGTTGTGTTGTGCCCACGTCGCTCACAGCCAGCGCCTGGACCTTGATATTTGGAAATGTTTCGTTAAGTGATGCTGAGCTGGGTGCATCCTCATCTTTTAGACAGTCATTGAGTTCAAACTGAACTTCATTTGCTTCCCCCTTCCTCCCAAAAAGCAAACAAACAAAAAAAACAAACAAAACCCACCTCCATTGAACTTTAATTCGTGTTACTGTTGCCGTTAGTCTCCCACCTACCCTTTGTACAGGGATAGCCTGCTTGTGAAGGTGGGTTTAGTTCATTTTGTGAGCACGAGGCAGCCTGTGATAGCCAGGGATGAGTGACCTCATTCCTAACATCTTCCAGTGGCATGGGATGCTGTTTTGTTTGCTTGTTTCATGTCGTGTCTGTCTTCCCCCTTACAGAGACCACAGTGCTGTGGTGCCTGGTGCTAGCTGCTGGAGGCTTGCCCTTCACCAGGAGAGAGGGATTTCATTCTGTCAGTTCCTGCCTTCCTCTCCTTCCCTGCTTCAGACCCTCTCTGCTTTGGCACGGGCTGCTAAGGAGCTCAGAGCTCTCCCTGCTTCGCTGACCACAGCAGCTGGAAGCTGCTTCCTGCCCGGTGGTATGAGTGAGGTCAGTTTAGCTTCATATCGGTGTCTTATTCCATCTTCCAGTTTCGAGTGAATTCCCAAATTGTGAATCCTTTTGTCTTCACATTGGGAAAACCGAAAAGTTCAGCCATCATCCGTGTCTCCCTGAGCATTTATGTGATGCTGTCTGGCTATGGCTAAGCAATAGCCTCATTTGCTGTGGTCTTTTTAAACATCTGGCAGTTCTGCACTTGATCCAACTAAAACCTAGTGCTCAGGACTGAACGGGATACCTTGTTGGTGCCTTACAGCTTGGGTTTTAGAAAACGTGTTTAGGAGATGGTGCTGGGAACCTAATGCTGCCCACAGGAGGTTTCCTCTTGGGGGGAGGGAAACCCCAATTGTAGCATGATGGAAAAGACTGGGGCAGTGCCTGCGGTTGGTGTGGCGTACCTGGGGTGTTGTGTCCAGCTCTGCGAGGCACTTGTGGACGTAGAAGAGTAAGCCCGGTGAAGGGCCGTTAGATGGGATTGTAGATGTTAGTGAGGTATGAGAACTGGGATTGTTTAACCTGGAGAAGAGGCTTGGGGTGGGGAAGATATCTCTTATCTCTTATCTCTTGATAAGAGAGGTAAATTTCACAGTTGCTCTTTTTATTTTCTATTTCTTTCCTGTGCACAGCCTCTCTATTTTTAACCTGCTGCATTCGTGATTTGTTTTCTGAAGCCTTGTGACCTCCGTGATATTTTGACTTTGGAGTATTGAAGAACCAGCATTGTAGGCATCTCGCATAGTCGTGCGTGACTATTGTTGGCTGGTGCCAGCTGAACAGTGCTTGTTTTCTTGGCTGCTTCTTGCATTCTCACCTTTCAGTAGCTAAGAGAAGAGCCCCCTTAGACTCTCTGTACCCACTCTCTTGTCTATTTACAGCCATACACAGCAACTGTATTTATTAGCAAGTTCTTGGAAGTGGAATCCTCTAGAATAGGAGTCACGGCGCTGCCTGCAGCTTGCAGTGTGTCCGGGGAAAGGTTCGTATAAATGAAGCTGTTGCCGTGTTTCAGCCTATCAGTGCACTGAGGCAGCATAATTGTCATCTTTGATACTCTTACAGTTTTGCTGGGTTCTCCCAGGAACATATGGCTTAGCAGAAATGCAGCTATTTTTATCACTTCAGTGTTAGTCCAGATTTTTTTTTCGCATTGCCTCTGCGTTCACAGTGAGTTTGCTGAGAAGAAGATAAATAAAACTGAATATTTTAGTGTCCCTTCAGTCTTGCATCCCTGCAAGTGCTAGATGAAACAAAAGGTGGAACAATGAACTCAGAGCTCAGTTAAGGGCAGTATACCTCTCTAAAACTTGCTGTGATTGTTTACAAAATACTTTTGTACTTTTTTTTTTTTGTTTTTTTGTTTTTTTTGAGAAAAAGGCCATGGTAAAGAGGCAGAAAGGGTTAGGGACACATTCTTTAGGCACATAAATGACACATAGTTGACCATCACCTCATTTTTCTATAACAGATCTGGGGAGAGTGATAACTGAAGCTCAGAATTACTCTGGAATGGTTGTAATGCCTTGAACTAGGAAACACACTGCAAGCTGCAAAGCAATATTTCTTCAATCACCTTTGGTTCAAATTTGCGTAATTAGCTTTTCTTCATGTATATAGTGGCTGGATGTGGTTTGTCTTTTTGTTCTGTTTCCTGATATCCCCTAGAGGGTTGTAGATGTTGATTAGGTATCCGTCCATACTGGAGGGTAGACGTCTTAGAAGTATGCACATAAATAACTGCACTGATGTTGGTGTCCTGTCTTGAACTGGGTGCTGTCCTCTGGATCTGGCGTTTGCATGCTCCGTGTGTGCAGGTGGAAGCTTGAGTGGGCAGAGAAACTGAAGCAGAGCCCTCTGTAAGTGCAGCCTGATCTGAAGTAGCTGGTTGCCTGTTGGGGCTGTGTGAGCACAGGTGGAGGACTTCAGCTGCGAGTCCCTGAAGCGCTTGGACATCTGTGGTGGATGGGGGGAAATGCACAAGCTGTCCCGCCAGCAAGCGTTTGCTTTCCTTCTGGCAGCTTTTGTTCTGCTCGATCATATTACTCTTCCTTAACTGTTGCTCCTTCTTCACAGTGTAGCGTGGTAAACACAGCATTGGGTGTTTCTTGGGAAAGCCAGACTCAGCACTGGAATAACTTGTCCTGCCTGGAAACGGGGATATTTGTGAGTGAGGAAAAACTCAAAACTTTCAGGAAGCACAACAAACATGATGCTGAGTGTTCAGCAAAGTAATTTTTAAGTAATATTCAGACTATTTGTTTCTTGGTATTTCAGAATGTACTTTATGGCTAGAGAATATTTAAGAAGTTACCCTATTTTTAACACTTTATTCTGGTCTTTATGGGTCTGTACGGGCCTTGACATCTCCTTCAGCTGGGAACCAACCTGGAAAGCTGGGTAACGTCCTCCAAGGATAATGGCATAACTCAGCTTGTAATGTGGATGATGGGCAGCTCAGTCTAAAACTGGCATCATGTGCTATCAGAGTTTGTGTTTACAGTAAATTTTGTGTGTGGATCTAAGCCTGCCACGGTTCCATACTATGTGCTGTGTCAAGCATGTCTTAAATAGCTGTACAGCTTTTGCTCAGTACCCTCTCACTGCAAAGTAGAAGAGGAGGCATCAGTTCCCCTGATGGAGCTTTTAGGGTGGAGTGGAGGTTAGAGCAAGGGAAGGAGATGGGAGCTTTCTGTGGCACAGAAGCAGGCGAAGGAGGTCTCAATTGTTCACACCATCTTAACTGTTCTGGTTTTATATCTTACAGGGCCTGAAGGGTACCAGCTGTATCTGGGACTGTGCACTTCTTTTATTACTGTGATCCCGAAGCATCACAAACCATAACAACCGTATCTGAATGTGTTTTTGTCTTTCAGGCTTAAACCATCTGTCCTTTGATCCTGCCAGCAACAGCAAATCTTTGCAGTTCAGCAGCACGAGTGGTACACGGGTGTTGGAAAGCCCAACTGAGAATGGAAATGATCCGGGCAAGAAGAGGAAGAGAACAAACATTCCTCCAGGTGAGCTATGTAGCAGCTCAATATTTGGCAATGGACAAGACATCTGCTTAAGTGCAGACCAAAACCAGCTGCTGTGCTAAGATGTCAATGCAGAAATTGCTCTGCATTGGATAGATGGAAATAAAGTTGTGGTCTGGTGCTGTTTGCAGTCAGACCAGTGTTTGTGTTTCCATTCTTACATGGCTTTGAATCAGTCATCTTTAGTATTTCTGTGTAAAAATGAAAACAGTTTTGTATTTTTTTAAAACCATTGTGGAATCACTATACCTGTCCCAATAGATTTTTTTTTTTCTAATTCAACAATATCTCAGTATTAAAATCATGACTATAATGAAAAGTAGTCACTTAGAAGGCAGAACGGTCTGAATGAATGGAGATATTCATGGCTAAGAGAATGTAATAAAACCAAACTTGTTGAAGCTATTATTGTCTAACACTTTCCCTTGTCTGTTTTGCCCTAAGACATCTCTTTTCAGCCAAAGTAAGGCTCCTTTTCCTTTTCAGAGTTATTAAAGAAGATAGCTTTCTCATCTTCTTGGAGACATTTTCTCCAATTGTAGAACAAGACATAGCTTTAATTTCAGTTTTGCAGTGCATAGTGTGATGTGTTATAAAATCATTACCTGCCTCTACTACCAAGAAGCTATGAACATCAGGAGTTCTTTGGAGGTGTGAAAGCCTGATTGTTCTGCTTTCGAGTTCAGTTAACATATTGATGGCATGTGAGTGTCTCTCACTCCAAATGTACCTTGCAGTTGCACACCTCTCCCAGGTGTGTCACATGCAGCAAGTGTGAGACCTGTCTAGTGTGACAAAAAGAGAACTGGAGGGAATTTGCTTTTTCCCTCTGGAAAGGTGGTGATGGCTTCCACTTTCGTGCTATCAAATATATCACAGGTGAAGTGAGACTTCGGTCAGTTTGCAAGTACAGGTAATGTAGATGTAGCCAGTAGGACTGTCCCCTGTCCAAAAGCAGTCCTAAAGGACTGGCTCAAGTGGGTAGCATCAGGAATTGTTGTTCTTTTCATTATTTCTCTGGACCTTTTGCCTGTAAATAAAGAAGGACTTCTGGGTGATGTGAAGATTGGAGGCCCTCTTGGACATAGCGATCACTAATTAATAGAGTTTTTGATCCTTGGAAAAGTAAGGAGGAGGCTTAGCAAAGCTGCCACCTTGAACTTCCAGAGGGCCGACTTTGGCCTCTTTAGGAGACTGGTTGGCAGAGGCCCTTCTTCTTGCAGATAACTAGTGACAGCACTAGGGGAGTGGCCTCAAGTTGGGCCAGGGGAGGTTCAGGTTGGAAATTTGGAGACATTTCTTCTCAGAAAGAGCAGTCAGGCATTGGAATGGGTTGCCCAGGGAGGTGATGGAGTCACTTTATTGGATGTGGAGGGAAACAGGGTGACAAGACATGAAGCAAAGGCTGAGGTACTTATTGCCTTCTTTGCCTCAGTCTCTAGCAGCAAGACCAGTTGTTCTCTGGGTACTCAGCCCCCTGAGCTGGTAGATAGGGATGGGGAGCAGATTAAAGTCCTCATAATCCACGAGGAAATGCTTAGTGAACTAGTACAATAAACTTTTCTGTGCAAACAGAAAGAAAAGCATTTTGTCTTGGTGGTGGTACATGGAAGTAATCAGCTAAAGGCATGGTTGACCCCACTAAATCACTGCACATTTGAGTACTTAACATGAAGCCAGATATTTGTATAATGCTAATGGTTCCACCTGGTTCCCCAGGTAACTTTGCTAGATGTTGAGTAAATAACAGTGGAACTGCATGCTGCCAGAAACATTGTTCTCTGCTTCATTTCTCCTTTTAGAAGGGAAGATATGTCGTCAAATGGGAGTGGAAATGTTCTCTGCTTGAGCAGACTGGCAATCTCCAAATTCAGTGCAATTATGGCAGTTTATGCCTGCTGAACATTTGTCCCTTCTTCATAAATTCTTATCTTTAATCAATGTTCCTTCAAGGTCCCTTAGAGCTGTGCATTGTAACGGACAAAACATAATTTATGTGCTTTTGGAAGTCAGTTCTTCCATAGACTTGCTTCCCTGAAATGTCATCTACTTGATTTTTTTTTTCAGTTGGCCCTTTTCTATATGTTAGGGCCAAATCTATTTTTGTATGCTGATACCTCACAGCCTTCTTGAGTAATGTGTGTCCAGCAGAAAATTTAAGATATGCACTGAGCTCTTCATCACCTTTTTTCTCTCAGCAGATAGTGGCAGAAATCTAAGCCTAGACTCCATTCCGATGGGTTTGCCAATGTCAGACCCAACTGCCTGGGCCACTGCGATGAACAATCTAGGGATGGCTCCCATGGGAATGACAGGACAGCCCCTCCTGCCTGGTACGTGAGTTATCCAGACTGTGTCCACCTTTTCTTTCAAACAAGTCTTTGGGAAGAACCTGTTTCACTTTAGTTAATGTTTTTTATATGCAGTAGGCATTTAATGCATTTCAAACACAGCTTATAATGTCTACAAGTGATTTATTCAAAGGTCAGTGTTTTAAAACTGATGCTTTTATGTCTTTTTCTCCTGCTCGTGTACATGTGCCAAGTGAAAGTCAGTACAAGTCTGTACTGGGAGTGTATACAAGTTTGAGGCCAGTTTCCCATTCCGTGATGTAAGAATGGGGAAGGCTTTTGGTCTTCTGAGTAGTGTTCATCCTGATCCTTTTGAGAGAAGACTTTGGGATCAGGAGTTCTGCAGCCAGCACAAATGACTAAGAACGTTTTAGAAGGAGCACAATGTTTTTTCTGATCTGATTGCAAGAGCAGAATGCTCTGGTGAATGTGGATCAGTTCTCAAGCCTGATGATAGTTTGAGGTTTAGACCAGTCATATTTGTAGTATCTATATAAAAATAAAAAGAAGAGAGAGACAGTGGAAGCTTGAAATGCTGTGGACCATCTTTGTTTAAAGCCAGGTGAGATTAAAGTTTCAGGTCACAGTAAGAAAAAAAAATGGCTAAAAATGCTTAGGAATTTACTAGCTTAATACTGTTTCTACAGATGAAGTAAAGCATGTAGTTGGGAGATGCTTTGACAGGATTGCAGTATCTAAAATGAATACACAGCATCTTTCATGACATCCAGGTAAAGCCAGTCTTTGTATTAAAGGTTATCAGTTTTCACCAAACAAAACAGCACCTGCCAGGCCTGTTTCTGAACTTCTAGTCCTTGAAGACTTTTTTCCTTCCTTTTTTATTTTTTCTTACAAATGGAGCCTGACTCTTCTGATTTTGCTTCTTAAGCCTCTCAGGTGCTGGTCTGTAGCCACAGGCTTAGCTTTCTAACAGGAAGAGCAGACCTCTAGGCAAGGATGGCAAGTTGTCCAGCATTTGAATATTGCTGGTTGAGCAATAAACAGTGGGGGTCACCACAGATCCAAAGACCACAGGTTCTGTTTCCCTCTGTGTATACACTTTCTACATTTCTTTACAATGTGGTTGTTCACTACCCCACCAGTTCTTTTACTTCTGATAATCCTATCAATTCACACTTTTTAGGAAGCTGTAGGTGTAGGTTAATCAGGAAACACCTGCCCGTCCTAGATTTCTTCTCCTTCCAATTCCTCAAGCTCCTCTGCTACTGTGTTCCTCCATTAAGGATTTTTCTGATTGGCATCAATGTCCATTACTGTCAACTGACCTTGAAGGAATAACAAATCACCAGGACAATAGGAGACTGCATGCTCACATTGGTATGAAGAATTACAGAATATGAAGAAAATTAATTTAGAGGCTTACAAAAGCAGTAGCAGTGAATTCACTTGTCTGTTCTGGATATGTGGCAGGTAGCCCAGAGTAGGGCTGGGAGGAAGAGCCACCGTCCTTGCCAAGGATGGTAAGCAGGTGGTTGAAGCACACCATATTTTGCACCTTTTGCTGCCAGCTAGCGTGATTTCCCTGCAACAGCATTGTGAACCTTGCTTCCCAAAGACGGAAGACTTGGCTGTCATCAGTTCTGATGTTTAACGATACCTACACTCTATTCCTGTTTTTTTTTTTTCCTTCGTTCTGTGTCTATTTTCTGCTGGCCAGCAGTGAAATACTCTTGATCTCGTAGGTGTACGTATGCCAAACTGTGCAGAGATGACAAGCAGGACCTTTAGATTCTAACACATGGGCATTTCAGCAGCCTGCATTTTGCAGCAGATCACTGCTGCTGCCTATCCCTCATCCTCCCTGCTGCCTCAGCAGTGTGAGCTTTGGCCATTCCTCCTCCTTGCAGATAGCTTTTTATGGGCAGTAGTGGGCAAGGGCCAGATTCTCCCTGCTGATGTTTCGGAGTACAGCTCCAAGAAAATAATGAGTTTCTTTGCCATTTCAACAATGATTTCTGCTGGGAAGATACCAAAGCTGTGTTTATCATAGCACAAGCTGTGGAGGAGTGATGGGCTGTGGGCGTGTGCCAAAATGGCATGGCTTCATCTGTGCTTCTTAGGGGGGTATCCTCAGGACCTGCTCCGTTACCTGCAGCATGGGCAGGGTGTGGTTGGGATAGGCAGTATTTGTGAGAATGGTTCAAAACTTCACAGCTGGGATTGAGTTTGCTGGCATAGGTATCATTTCTCTCCTTTTTGGCAACAAGCATCCCATTGTAAACCTTTGAAATCTGAAAGAAGTATTGCTACTGCAAGTCTGTGAGCCAAACCCCAGCCCAAAGAACGCTTGCATGGAGGATTGCAGTAGAAGAAGCAAATCCTACCCCACGATAGCAGACATACAGGTATATCATTGATCATTCAGCCCCAGCCTAACCCTAGATCTGAAAGTTGTACCTTGCAATCTATTTCCTCTGTAAACTAATAACCAGTGTATGTTTCAGGGGAGTTGTGCGGCACCAGCATATGTGCTGATCCTTTTTTTAGACAAGTGAAAATACTGTTTAAAATAGCTGAAAACAGTGCTGTCTGCCTGGTCTTTTCAGCAGCATAATTTCTCAAATCTACATGGAAGTTTAAATACTAAAATTCTGTAACTTCAATGTCACACATTGCAAGCCAGGTATCACAGATTAGATACCTCATCGTTAAGTGATTGTGAATAAACCAGTATATCTCATAAGGATAAAATTCACATGTATCTTTAAATGCATTTTTTCCACAACTGGCTTCAGGAAAGTTTATTTTCCCTTCTCTGAAAAGTCTGTTTCATGGCAGAGGATTTGGGTTTGTACTATGACACTGTTCGTGTGTGGTGTGAAATGGCGATGCTTGTACTGCGAACAAAACAATGTACATAAACTGTGTAGAAATGTGGCCCCAGATAAAATACTTTAAAATACAAAGGAAAATAAAATTCAGCTTCCAAACTCAGACATCCCATTTGTACGCTAAAATCTGTCTTGCATTCAGATTATTGTTCAGCCAAAGCTTTTTCTAAGTAGTATTTGCGAAGAGAAGAGTACAAAGCTGCTTGCCTGCCTAATGGATATGAATAGAATCTGAAACAATGCCAGCTTAGGATCAAAGGAGAGTGCTGCCTTGCACCACTCAGTTCTGCCTATTTGTAATTTTCATCTGTGCCTTGCAAAACAAATCTTATCTGCCTACATCTGAAAAAAGCAGCCAGATTCAGAGGTTCCGTAGTGCTCAGGATAATATATTCGGTGGTAGTGTTTTGTGGTATTTTGGGGATTGCCTAGATCCTCGGAGTTTCTTCTGCTACAGAGAGAGGAATGGTGGTAGACAGTAGAGAAGATGATGTGCACCTGCAAGAGGAAATTATTCCTGAGATCTCAACCTGATAGTACCAGCTGGCCCTGGTGGTGTTGGTTGTCTTTACAGTTTAGCTGCTGACATTCTCAAACTCATGAGCTTTCTTTCTAAGGAATTTATGTAAATGGTTTCTATTTTGGTTGCATGCAAGTACTGCTTCCTCAGGGTACATAGCTTCAGAACAGATAAAATACCTCTTGTTTGATAATTATCTTTAGCTTTTAGTTAGCATTGGAGGTTAAATGTAAGAGCAAAGTCAGAATAAAATGCTACTTATTCAGATATAGTCAGAATACTAAATAAAGCCTAGAAACAAGTTAAGCAGGAGATGTATGTTGCCATTGCAGGTTACACTTAATGGTAAAGTATTTCCTTAAATGCTCCTGTGCATTTTACCCAGATTTCTGCTGGCACATTCTTAGCTGCTGAAATTCCTACACTTGTCTAGTGCACCATGTCACAAGCTGTCTGCACTACTTAGCTACTTAATAAAATTGAGCTGAGTTTGCTTTTACACTGTTTCCATACATCATAGATTTTTTTATATGGGCAATATAATACTTACTGGGAAAGGTTTTGATGTTAGATAAGAGATGGTATCTATGTACTAGAAAGGGAAATAATTTATTTAACTGAGAAAGTCTGTTTGGCTGAGGCAATTGACATAGTTTTTTTTTAAGTTTTTCTAAGGGTATAAATGTAATTTTCTGGTGAATTATATCCCTCTGTGTTGTTGTTTATTCAGCTAATTTTCACTGATGCATGTGGGTGGAGTACTTAATTTGCTGTCTGAATGAACAATTGCTGTATAAGTCCAAAACTGACTCCCTAATTCTCTCCCCCATTTAGATTTTGATCCTGCTCTTGGGATGATGACTGGAATCCCTCCAATCAACCCCATGATGCCAGGCTTAGGGATAGTCCCTCCTCCCATTCCTCCAGATATGCCTGCTGTGAAGGAGATCATTCACTGCAAAAGCTGCACTCTCTTCCCACCTAACCCACGTAAGTGTCTATTTATGTTTTATCTTCTTTCTATCTGTATATGAATATGTGTGTATAAAAATATGTATGTAAAAATGTGAGAATGTGAGAGAAGAGCCCTTGCACTGCCTGGACATAGCTGCTGTGGGGTGAGTCACCATGCTCAAAAGCATCATGCTGAAAAACAGGTGACAGAGCTGCAGGAAAAATCTGCTTTTGTCCTTGAGTGTTTGTAATTTCAATATATAGTGTTTACAGTTCAGTTAGATTAATAAGGATTGGGTTGAAAAATATTTCAGTCCCCAGAACTGGAAACTACACAGCTGAATAGTGGTGGGACATAAGTGCCAGCTGCAATATTAATACCTCTTGTCTGCTGGGGAAAGTGTTGCTTGGCCTTATCCCATGCTTGCAGCCCCGTATGCCTCTGGGGGAGCGTTGCTGTTGCAGTTTTTTTCTGCCACGTGCTGGTGCACATGCATTAGTGTGAAGACATGCTCATGAGCTCTGTCTCCCAATCCTGAAAAATCTAAATAACAGGTGATTTCTGATCTCAGTGGTTTTGTCTCATGGAATTAAAGGAATGTTTCCTCATTTTTTTAGGGTTCAGAAAAAAAGTCATTGATGCTAATGCTGTGGTTGTTTTGCTTTCCACAACTATGTAGTGGCTGATTCAGAAAATACAGCATGTTTGACAAATAATGTTCAGTGTGGACTGCATGCTGCAGCAAAAACTCAAGAGCAGCCTTAACAAAACCTGCAGTTACCCAGCTGTGTTCCACATGAGCATGGTGGGAGCCTGAGATAGTGAGCTCTAGCTGGTGTTCTGCAGGAATCTGCCTTCTAATGCACAGTAGACCTTAAATCCCCGTAATGCTTACCATCTGGGCTCCATTGGCTGTCTTCCTCATCAGAAAAAAATGAGGAGCAGACTTCCTTTTTTTCCCCTGAGATTTATTACAGGGCTATCACGATTGTGGATTCCATCTGGATAACTTGAAATTGTTCTTGAACCTCACTGAACATCTAACGACAGCTTTCAGCACTTCTTAATGGAGGCTACCGTGTTGGCACGTAGTATAATGGGTGTAGTAGATTCCTCTTCCTATTAGTGTTGCTCCTGAGGAAAGAGCTTTCCTACCTGACTTCTTTCTGTGGTCCTTATTCTGTAGTGGGAATCAAAGAATGTTCCTGCTGGGAACATGTCATTCTTGTTTTCTGAGTTCTAACCTAAATCACATAGATAATTACATAAACATCACTTTTATAGGTGGTATTGATCTGTGTGTGCAGGTATAGCTCGAGTAGGTAAGTGTGAAATGTGTACAGCTGCAGTACAGAGTTTACATGTAGTTTAGTTTTGCCAAATGATGGTGTGAAGCTAGTTCCTGGTCTGCTAATTAGTAATAAAGTGTTGTGGCCATGAGAATCTGTTAGACCTTTTAAAGAGTGCTAAGTCCAGCAGCTAGCTAATTGGTAACCTGGAGCTGGTCAGTATTTTGCCAAATACCACAGTGAGACCTGTTGCTGCTCTGGGGAGAGTGGGCTTACATTCTTTGCCAGAAAGCAACCTCAGACCATGCCTTTATGTAAAAATAAAATGCAGGTCTGCATCTTTCTGAGTGATTTGGTGGCCTCTCTTTCTGGGGTCTAGGTTGCGATCTTACATATTCAAACATTTTTCCTCTGCTAAAGCTAGTTATCACATGAGGGAGGATATCATAACGAGCAGACCACTTTCTTCAAGCTTCTGTAATTAATGTTTCTTGAGTTTGGCTTGCATTCCTGCATGTAGGCTTTACAATGCTTCCTTTTGTTGTATATGTAATGAAAAACATGAACTGTGCAAGCTGCTCTCAGAGTGCATCATGTACATCTTGCCATAATTTTGTATTGGGCCTACATCACATCTAAAACACTGCCGAGGCTGTTTCAGATTTAGGAGGGACCTTCTCAATACTTCTCAATACTGGGTACTCCTGTTAGACACGGAGCAAAGCTTGGTATGTCCCATGGAAGTGCACAGCACACTTGGACACCTAGGAGACTGGGAGGACAAGGCTGTACTTACAAAGGGCACATTGGGCAAATGTTCCTCAACACCTTAACTGTATTAATTACACCAGTGATCAGCTCTGCCTCCCAACTGGAAAGAACATATGAACTCCATGGGGATGTTTTATTCTCCTTTGATCTTTTTGACTGGTGCTGGGGCCTTGGTCACTCCTTGTTACGTGACCGTCTGCAATACAATCAGTGTTTGACTTGAAAAATCAGAAACGTGACCTAATGTGATTAACATCATCCACAGAGCACTGTTGAGCTGTGGCACTGCAGTGCTGTAATCTTACTCTGAGCAGACCAGTAGCAGTGGGAGGCTGTTGGCAGTTGAGCAAGGACATAGTTCTTGGCCAAATCAAGATTCAGGAATGCATCTCACGTTTGCAGGAGCCTGTACCTGCTGTCAGCAAAGTTCATGTCAAGATGTAACAGTTGCTTTTGAATCCTCCTTACTTGTAGCCAGCTTAGCAGGAGCAGAGGTTGCAGATCTACCACAGCATTATCAGTGGGATGCTGCTTGTACTGCTTCATTTATCACTTCACTAAACTGACTCTGATTTGAACAGGAAGGTGCTATTGCAGAGGGAGAGGGCAGGTCTTAGAAGTCTTAGTTTTCCCTTCGAAGAAAATAGGAAAAATACTGAACACTCAGTAGTGTAGCCATTCTGATGTGCTTGTCATGAGACTGGATTTCCCACACAAGGTACTTATTTGCAAGATGTGTGAAATGAGTTAACAGCTTTTAATGGCCCCTTTGTCACCCTGTGGTTGGAATGGGGCACCTCCACTTGGTTCACGTTACTGGGGTTGACAGGAGCTGCACATGATCACGTTCCCTTTTTCTGCTTTCTGCGGTGGGTACCAACATATGGCAGAGCCTGGCGTGAGCCCTCATGTTAATGCAAGCAACTTGGCAGCAAGCACTCCCCCGGTCTTCCTGAGATTGCTGTGTGCCAGGTAGCCAGAGCTTTGCCTGCAAGCAGGGCTTTGCCTTGTTTTCAGAGAAGGTGCCAGATCCTGTGAGCTGTGCTTACTGCCAGGCCAGCAGCGAGTGAGAAGCACACCCAGTAAAGCATCAACAATAAATTTTCAAGTAGAAAAATAAACAAAAGTTATGAACTGGGAAAGACAGAAGTATGAAGTGCAATCTCAGGCATACTTCTCCCCTGAGCCTGTGTAGCTCAGCCACAGTGTTGGGGCCCTGCAGAAGTCTGTGCTGTTTCAGGTAGGAGAGCTTTGAAATTCTCGATTGGAAAAAGAGGAATTTACCTAATCTTCTCAGAAAAATGATGTCCCCTGGAAAAATGATGCTAACTATGTGGAGAAGATGCAGATTTTTTTTTTAGCTGCATGTCACTATATAATTCACAAGAAGGTGCCACCAGATGGCACCCAAATCTGATGGGCTCCCAGGAGTGAGAGTCTGTGATGTTTCTGTGCCCAGCATTTTAAGTAAAACTCTGGTAATGCCTAGTTTTGTGATATATCAATTAGTATACCATTCCCTCAAAACAAAGAACCAAAAAAAGAGAAAAATAAAATCTAACTGTCCTGGAAACAGCTTTTTATTTGTAAGTAATGCAGAAAATCAGCAGTGTTCAAGGATCATCCTACTGCAGAAGGATGAAAAACTGACAGCTCCCTCACTGTCTGGGCAGTGCCTGTCCGTAAGAGACCACAGCAGAGTAATTAAGCACAGCACTGATTATCTTACCTATCCCAAGCATACCTGTCCCTTAGCACACTGGCCACAGTCCAGTACCATACACGTTATTCAACCAATAAATCATTGAATGTTGTTCGAGGCTTTAGTCTTGCATCTCTGCATCCAGTGAAAGATACTGAAATAAAAATACTATTGGATTTGGGGATCACAGTGTGGGCAACTGAAGGTTGTTTCAAAACAATCCACAGCACTTTGCAAGGCTTCCCCTGACTGCGGAAATCCTGCCAGCACACTCTCAGGGCACAGATTTTACAGCCTGCAGTATAGCTTTAGAATCCTCTGTACATGTTTTCTACTTATTCTGTATGGTTGGACAGTCCCTGAAGCTGTGTTTGTGTAACACCTCCTGTGATAACTTTTTGAGGTCCTAGCTGCTGCTCAAGTTTTATGATAGGAACCAGTGAGCCTTAGGCAAAGTGTTTGGAGAGCTTCACCCTCCTGAGATCTTTTGTTTGGAAACAGGATGGTAAATGTGTTTGCTCTTGTGGAGCACCTCACCAATGCTTGTACAACTCTTTGTTAATCAAGTCAAATACAACTAATCACACATTTGCTAGTATGATTTGCTAGTATTTGCTAATCATACATTTGAAGGAATCCAGGACCCCTGTTAGGGCACATGGGCAAATGAATAGAAAGTGTTCTGACAAACCTAACGTCTTTTCCTTCTGTTGCTGTTTTCAGATCTCCCCCCTCCAGCAACAAGAGAGAGGCCCCCAGGCTGTAAGACCGTGTTTGTTGGGGGACTGCCAGAAAATGGGACTGAGCAGATCATTATGGAAGTGTTTGAACAGTGTGGAGAAGTCATAGCTATTCGGAAGAGTAAGAAGAATTTCTGTCATATCCGCTTTGCTGAGGAATTCATGGTGGACAAAGCACTTTATCTTTCTGGTAGGTGTATTTTTGTCTGTTACGGCAGCTTAAAATTCTGGGATATGGATGTAATGATGTCTCTATAATTACAACGAAAGGCTTTGTTTGTTGCCTTTGGAAGATTTGTCTCATGTTGTGTCAGTTCATGTCTTTTTGTGCTATTGCTGCAATTCTGCTTAAATATCTGAAAACTGTGCCTGATAGGAAAGATAGCAATGCTTTGTTACCTTGGGTGCTGTGCAAAATATTGGGATGAGGTACAATCAGAGCCCATCCCCATCTTACTTGGGTAAATGTCCAGTAAATTCTATAGAGGAAGCTGAGTGTTTCTTTAAAAGTTTACAGTAGCTCTCATTTCCCTGTGAATTCATAGACTCACAGAATGGCTTAGGGTGGAAGGGACCTTAACGATCAGCTATCCCCAACCACCCTGCAGGGACAGGGACACCTCCCAGCACCTTGTGCTGTTGGCCCTAAAGCTGAATGCAGGGCTTCATGTGGGTTCTCACAAGAGCAGAGCAGAGGGGGACAATCCCTTCCCTTGCCCTGCTGGCCACGCTGCTTTTGGTGCAGCCCAGGGCACGGTTGGCTTCCTGGGCTGCAAATGCACATTGCCAGCTCATGTTGATCTTGTCACCAACACCCCCAGGTTCTTCTCATCAGGGCTGCTCTCAATCCATTCTCCACCCAGCCTGTGTTTGGGCTTGGGATTGCCCCAATTTTTTTTGATTCACCTCCCTGTCTATCTAGCCCATATTTTAACAGCCTCTCTCTGAGAATCACCTCCAGAGTTCAACTTCCAGAGTCACTCTGTGCACTAAGCTCTTCAATAAACTCCTCTGTTCAGGGACTTGCTGGCTTTGTGGGAGTTGCAGGTGGGTCCTGCTAGGTTTATGGAGCCTGAGATACTGCCCTGTGCGAGCCACCTGTCTTACCTGAACGCTGTTGTTATCACCACCAGGCTATCGCATCAGGCTGGGCTCCAGCACTGACAAGAAGGACACTGGACGCCTGCATGTGGATTTTGCACAGGCTCGGGATGACCTGTATGAGTGGGAATGTAAGCAGCGGATGCTGGCAAGAGAGGAGCGCCATCGTAGGAGGCTGGAAGAGGAACGCTTCCGCCCGCCCTCCCCACCTCCTGTCGTCCATTACTCTGACCACGAGTGCAGCATCATTGCTGAGAAACTAAAAGGTAGGTGGTGCCGTGGGCATGCATGTGTCTGCACAGGTACTGAGGTAGGGAGTTGTATTCTCCAGTGGTATTCTTACGGAACTGAGGTGATGGTGTAGTTTTGTAACTTTCCTCATGCTTCACATTGTACGTTAAAGTTTACACAAAGAACAGCTGGTGGTGATTACTTATAATATTAAGGAAATAGAAAATATAGGGGGAAAAATGCTGTTGGACTGTTATAGAGGTGGATTTAAAAATCTCATCACTTATATTCTGGAAGAGGTGGCATAGACTTCCCTTTTGCGACCCTGTAACAGCTAATACAAGGATGTGTGCTGCTGGACTTTTTGTGTTTTAATATCAAGAATACATCTCTTTCTCCCCATCTGCAGTTGTGGCAGCTCCCACATTTGTTGTGTATTTCTTTATCATCTACCCTCATCTAATTTACTGGCTCTGTGATGATCCTGATTTTTTAGTGTTTAATATAATTTAATTAACTGCCTGGGCTGAAGTTTTTATTTGTTGGTCTTTACTAGAATATGAATTTTGGCAGTGAGACAGGATGGATAATACTTTTTTTTTTTTTTTGCTTTCCCAAGAAAGACCATTCAGACTGAGCCCTCAGGCAGCACACAAGCTGCTCAGTGTTCCCTGTGGCTTCTGAGTATAAACAGAAGATTCTTATAAGCCTTACTGCACCAGTGCGTCTCCTGTGCCTAGCTCTCAGCTCTGTGCCATGAGCTGCTCTCCCAGCTATCTCTTTTTCAGAATTGTCTGTTTGTAAAAACGAAGGTATATTTTAGTACAATGGTTTCTTCCAAAATTTATTTATGTTAAAATGACTGGCCCAAGTCCCAAGACCTTTTATGAAGCCTAAACCGAATCTGTAGCCTGACTCTTCCAGTGAGAGAATATTTGCTGTCATGAAAGAATATGTCTAAATAGGCATATGGAGTTTTCCAGTAGGTTGTTAGCAGTTGATTTTCTCCTATTTTTGTGCCTCGAAAGACCGTTTGCTGTCAGCTTGGTATTAGACTTGCATTCCTTGGTGTAGTCTTGTGTTTGGATAATACTGTGCTTTCAAGAATCCAGATTTGCCACTATAAGATGACCTTTGAAAGAGAGTTAGTTCAGTGACATCAGGGAAAGGATCTGAAATCTATACAGGCAAACTTGCACTTCCATGGTCTAAAGATGTCCTTTCTTGCTGCAGATGACGCAAAGTTCTCAGAAGCTGTACAGACCTTGCTAACCTGGATAGAGCGTGGAGAAGTGAACAGAAGGACTGCGAACAACTTCTACTCTATGATTCAGTCGGCCAACAGCCACATTCGCAGACTGGTAAATGAGAAGGCAGCTCATGAGAAGGAGATGGAAGAAGCTAAAGAGAAATTCAAACTTGCTCTCTCAGGGATTCTGGTTCAGTGTGAGTAGTATTTTTGCACTGAATGTTGGTTGTCTGTTATTGTAGAGAAGACTGCTTAATTTCTAGAGTCTGATGAGGTCATACTGAAAAAGTTCCAGGAAAAAGAAATGGCAATCCTTTTTACTCAGCTACAGTTAATTTATAAGCACATGTCATTAACTTATTAGAACTTTCTTGTGGAACTTTTCATTGACGTCAGAGCCCACATCTTGGGGGAGGAGAGCATGAATTCCTAATTTTTTTCCTCTTTTAATTATAGTCTATTAGAAATTCTATCATCTTTTCAACATTGCACTTCTGTATACAGACAAGGTAAGTTCCTGGTAATCTGATGCCTCAGCGAAATGTACAGGATTTATTCACCAAAGGTAGGAAGCAGTAGAGTGTTCTCAACACTCCGTTCTCAGTCACAATGTAAGAAGTTAGTGTAAACGTGTTGCAGAGTAGAATTTTGAACCTGGGTCTTTCAAGTCCCAGTACTTTATTAAATCATGAAATCAAGGAAGAGTCATTGGGTCTATTCCAGAATGTGATTTATAACAGTTCCTCAAACCACTCATTGCCTCTTACACATCCCTTCTTTAAGTAAGTCTGATTATTTTAAGAGTACTTTTTCCATAACTGTACTAAGTCTCCTTGAGCCCCTTGGCTAGCATATGAACAGTATTAATTTTGGTTTTATATTCAGTAATTTTGTCTGTTACTTACCTGACACTTGATTTTTTTTTTATTTTTTTATTTTTTTTTAATTCTGTAAAAAATATGGGCATGTGGTCCAGAAGACAATACAGTAAGCACTGCACAGTAAGTAGTAATAGACAGCAGCATGCAACTCATCTCTACAAAACACCTAGTGGTATCTGAGACACTTCCAGATTTATTAGTTAATCTAAATAGCAGAGAGATAATTTTATTTCATTAGAGTTATGCCTACTACAAGATTACATTTGTGGGGGAAAAAAAACCAGCTAGGTGTGCTTTCTGCTGTTGGGTGAATTCTCATCCTAGGAGAGGCACTTCATATTTCCAAAATACCTCTGCAAATTTTTTAGAAAAATATTTTAGAAGGAAACCTAAGGAAACAAAGTATTTTAGGAGGAAACCTAAGGAAACAAAAAAGTTGATGGCTGATGGATTGGATGCAGTGCTCAGGCTGGTGCAGTGTTCTTTAGGACTGGACCCCTTGGGCGAAAGAACATCCAAAGTGCTAGCTTTCACAGTTGTGAGAGGAAATGTTAGAGAGCGCATGCTACCTAGGTGTATCTGTTGCACTCACAAGCAGTGTTGCTCAGTGTGTTTGAGTGTTTAGTTTTTTTCAGTGCAACATCTGCCTTCATTTTTTCCACTTGAGTGCAGATGAAGTTTTCCCAGTTGATCGTGGCCTGGTGAAGTCCATACTTTCCTTTCCAGGCACAGAGTCCTGAGCATGGCTTCAGCACAGTACAGTGTTATGACAAAGGTTAGCCAAACCACCTGCCTGATTCCACTCTTTTACTCCTTTACTCCTTTGTTCGCCCTCTCTGGATGATATTCTGGCCTGATTTGACTGCTGATTTGATACTACAGTCGAGCAGATAGTGGCCGTGTACCATTCTGCCTCCAAACAAAAGGCTTGGGACCATTTCACGAAAGCTCAGCGTAAGAACATCAGCGTGTGGTGCAAACAAGCAGAGGTTGGTAATTTTCTATTGTGTTAGATTCTGCAGCCAGTCTCTTTCATGTCAGGATATTGATTTTATGTTTGCACAATGCTCACATGGGTAATGACGTCTTAATTCACAGTGTAAGATGGGAATTACTCAGTCGTCTCTTGTGTTGCAGGTAATAAATTTGCTCATTGTACTTCTGATAGTAGAAGCAATATATTGATCTGTATGCCAATTGAAGTTGTGAAAATAATAATAAATATAGATCTGTTTTCTACTGTTTTTAATATTAAAGCAACAAGTATTTCTAGAGAGATATTAAAGAAAACAAGTATCAACACTGGGATCAGTTTTTTTCACGTTTTCTTGGAAGATTTGAGAGATTGAAATAATTGCAGCTGGTCAGTCTTGAAAACTTGAGGCAAGATGTTCTCATATTCATATATTGATGTCATGCAGCAACATTGTTAGTGAAAAAAGTATTTAAAAATGGTGGAAAGGGTGGGGATAATGGAAGAAGGAATGTTACTCAAACTGCTGTTCCTGCAAGAGGAAGAATAGTCTTCAGTCCCTTATCTGATCTTCTGTGATTCAGATACAACATCAGAAAAAGTAAACCTAAGATAAAGAAAGATTGTCTCTGCAAAGTGATGATTTTGTCAGATATTTTTCCTGGACTCTGAGATGAAATATGTGCTGCCTTCTGTCACCTGTGTAGTAGGGATCTCCCATTGCTTGGCTGCACCTGGCAGTGGAGCACATCTTGATGCTCTGTGTCTGGCCTGAGGAAGGCTGGAGGAGATTGTTATGCTCCTGGGAATGTGGAGGGCTTCCAAGAGGAACAGAAGAGCCCCATGGTAGGTTAGAGCTCTTCTTCCATAGAATCTCATTTTTGTGTTCCTTCCTAAGAAAGGTTAATGCTCAAAGTGGTAACCGAAGTATTGTCACCTTGGGGTATGAATAGTTTTGAAAGAAAAAGCAAGAAGTTGTATTTTTCTTGCTCATTAACCTTTTTAAGTTGGATGAGGCTTGAATCAGTTTTTACTTCTGGCAGCACACAGATGTCTTCTAAGTGGTAGGAAAAAGCAAACGACAACAAAACAAAAACCTGCTATGAAAAGTAACCTGCCTTTTAAAGTAACCCTGCTGTGTTAGATAGCAATTTTTTATTCACTGTGAAAACGCCAGCAATTTAGAGATGATGTTGTCATTTATGTTTTGAAAATTTGGCAAAGCGTATGCTTTCTCATCTCAGCATGACCTTAAGATGATTTACAGCCCAAGTGGTTTCCAGTGTTCCCCAAACCATGCTGAGAAGAATACCAGCCTGAATGCATGAGGTAGCATCCTTGGCTGAGGGACTTGGGAGTTGGATGTTTAGCACTGTTGTCTAAGTGTTCCCATGACAGATGTGTAAATAGGTGACGGTGTCTTGTCTCCATACACTGCTGAGTAGTCAGGTTTGGGTGAGAAATCCTAGTCTGCTTGATGGCTTTGGATTTTCTTCTTTCTTTGTTTTGGTTTTGTTTGCTTGGAAGGCAAAGGTTGCTGACTGCTGGACCTCATTGCATGACTTCTCGGAGCCCTGTGTAGTCATTAGTGGATTATCCTCTTGAGATGGAGATAGGAGAGATAGTGGATAAAGAAGCGTTTGCCTGATGTTGCCCAATAATTCTCTGGAAGACCAGATGTTTTGACTCCCTGTTGTGGATCAGACTCAGTATTTCTAGCACAGGAGCATGTCTGTATAGATTAGGTAGAACTGAAAGTCTGGAGACACTTCATGACACCCCACCCCAGTGCAGGCCGTGGTAAAAGGTGTGCATTTTGAAGTGTTTGTTTATTCACAGTAAAAAGAACTCAAATATATAAGCAGTAAAATAGCTATTAAAGAGGAAGGATAGCTTGTTAACCACAGCTTCTTGTTCAGTTGCTCTTTCAGTGTGACGTTGAAAGTCCGTTCTGCAGTGTTGTGTTGTCTGTCGCAGAGGTCTCTCCTGGTGGAGCACCAAGCCAGAGAGCACATAAATTCTACTCAGATCCCAGGAGCATGCCAGTCTAGGCACGTAGCTTTCTGCAGGACACTTCTGCACCTTTCATGCACTTTTGGATCTTGCTGAATGTTGTAGAACAGAACTCGTATGTTGATTTCTTTCAGGCATATGAGGTTAGGCTGTACTAAAGTCCGCTGTGTGGTTAGAGCACCCCAGTGCTATGTAGTGTGTTTCAGAGGATATGGAAGGAACGACTTCCATCATCACTTCTTTACTGATAATGTTCAGAACAGGGAAGAAACGGCACACAAATATTTTAAATATTTTTTTAAATACTCTGTTTTTTGTGTTAAAAAGCTACAGTATTAAATGAGTTCACTGATTATGTTAGGTAGCTACAACTCCGCAAGAACACCATAGTTACCAGCCGACCTGTGATAGCTCCAGAGCTGTTCTGTAGCTTATCACCAGATCCTCATGAAGTCCTAAACCACCTCAGACCTGTGTGGATCTGCCTGGCCTTGTTTCAGCATAAAGCAAAACAGCTTTGCTTAAACCACCTCTGAAAATGTTACTCTGTGTTTTCAGTCTTAACTGTATCAAGATCACATCTTTTATAACTAAGCCTGTAATAATGAGAGTCTAAGGGAAAGCTTTTATTTTCTAAAGGATGATAATTTCTGTGAAAGATGTGTTTACACTAGGGCATGTGAAAGAAGCAGATGAATGTATACTTTCATATAGGACAGATTTTGCGGGGTTACTTTGGTGAAATGGTGCTTAATCCAGCACTCTCAGGTGCAAGTGCAAAGCACTTGTGACATACATCATCCTTATTTTCTAGTGAAGTCAAATTTAATATTTAATAACCATTGATATTCCAATTTATACGTAATATTAGCAACATATTTGTGCTACATTTTATTTACCCCAACTCCTCTTACACAGAACAAATATTCAAAAATATGCATTCATTACCACAGTAACAAAACATGCTGTAGTGCATGAACAGGCTCCAAGGCTGCTGGCAGGGTATGCACTACAAGGGCCTCACTAACTTGCTGTTCTTGGCCTTATTCACTTAATTGAGGTATGTCAGACCCCACAATTCTGTGTGTTTTGACTGCATCAGCTTAACTAGCGGACAAAAAACTCCTCCACATACTCACCACCCAGATATTGGAGCGTGCCTGCAGCTCTGCATTGACCGGAATCCTCCAAGTCAGAATCCACCTCTAGACCAGCAGATTTCGCTAATTCCACATTAGGCTCCAGCCCTACTGCAGCCACAATGTGATCAGTCTCCACCTGTTTGAGAATTTATAATTACTATTCTAATTCTCTCAGTGGCCTCTCTGCAAACTTACCCATCCTTTGCATTTAAATTTACCTTTCGCCATCTTTTAGTTTAATCACCAGTCGATTTCCAGAGACAGAGACAGACTTGACCACGGCGTTAGGCATAACATTAACACCCTCTGGAAACAAACGTAAGAAATGTAATTACTTGCTCAGCAATAGTCTTCACATGAAGCAGATGTCCTTAGTGCAAACTAAGATGGAGGCAGTGCAAGAACCAGCTTAGGAACTGAGAGGAGACTACCTTATCTTTACTGAATCACAAGGAGAAAGAAATCCAGACAACAAGTCAGAAAGAGCTAATTAAATGACAGTTGAAAGTACATCTCATATGATGGCAAAGTCACATCCAGAAGAACTCCCTAAGACAGGTTCTCAGGCCATAAGGATATTTAATTACCTACTGTTCTGTTACAGCCAGACCCAGAGGTTCTACGAGGAAAGCTTCCACAAGGAGAAGAAAGTAAATCGGACCCATCAGTTACTGGGTCCTGTAGTTTGCAGCCCCAGTTTCCCTCCTTCCTCTGTCCCCACTCTACTGACCAATCCAGAGGAACAGGCACTACATATAGGAAACGGGGAAAAAAAAGGTGTCTCAGATCTTACAGATCAATTTAACACTACACTAAAGGTGAATGCATAAGGCATGGGGCTACACAATCCTTCTCTCAAACTGATTCTAGGCCAACTAGATTAGGCTGTAAGAAGGAAAATTACATGAGGCTTAGAGCAACTCAGAACTTGCAAGCTGTATCAGCAGTAGGGATCACTCTCTGTAGTGATATTCCAGGTGTATCACTGGCATCACCATGCATATTTGTTTGCCCTTGCCAGAGGAACAACTAAGAAGTGAGACCCTGGCAGCCCTGTGCTACCCAAACTGCTCAAGGGCAAGCCTGAAACACAACTTGTTCTGTTCTGCACTTGGGCCGCCTTGCAACGGACCCAGTTTTCCTGAGACTCCACAGGCTGAACAAGCAGAGATCTGTGTTGTACAAAGAAGAGTTACACAACAGCCACTGATCTAAGCATCACAGCTCAGCCACTTGCAGAGGGGAGCACTAAGACACAGCTTTACCTTTTCTGACTTTCTCTGTGGTCCAGTTGCTCAGATATTCAGGCAAGACTTTGCCCATATTGCCATTTTCTGGAAACAGCTGAATCACCTCCAGGCCTCTGGTTCGCGCTGAGAGGAAAGCAAAAGAGCAGACTTCTTACATCTCATCAATAAAGAGCAGTAGCACAGATTTCAGGACACAAGCTTCACTTTGCTTTACACAAGGAGCTTGGCAGAGGTCTCCAAAACTGGGAGTTCTGGCCCCCACATTTTCCACAGGAATCAAAAAGTGACCATCCACTTTGTCACATAACCACCTGAAAACTCTAGGATAACAGACAGCAAACTTCAAACTAAAATGCTTAACATCTTACATTTGTTTCTTATTGAAATCCTGCAGAAGTTAACAGTAAAAGTCTATTCAGAAAGCTGTAGGCGTTTAACAATTAAAAAAAAAAGTTCAGTTTGAAGTAATTTTACGATGCCTTTTAGTATGAGAGCACAAATATATTACTTTTTACAGGGTGGAATGACTTCGCGACATGCACTGGTCTGCAAAGCTTACAGAAAGCCCAACTTACAAAAACATTTGTAGTCAGGGTCTGCTTGACAGCTAATGAGAGAATTGAAAACAAGGCCAGCCCATATGGCCAACA